GCGCAGCCCACCACCAAACAACGATGCGCGGCCGCAACATCAAACTGCCAAAGAAATTTGAGTAGATAGGATGTTTTTTGAACTATTTAGACTACTCCACCAAAAAATCTCGTGATAATAGCTTTTGTATGGTGCTCTACAGCCTCATTTTTGATAGGCGGACATTTTAGTGGTGGTGTTGCATTGTCTGACCCGTTGCACGCATTGACCACCCACACTAGGCGTGAAAAAAAAAGCTGTAAAAAGACAAGAGAGCTAGGTTCGAGGTTAGGAAAGCGGGACAAGTCTGGAATGCCTTATCTGCAGCATACTTCAAGTTTGCTAGCAGCGCCAATGAATATGCAATTACAGCACATTGCCGCCTAACATGTTATAGGATTGATTGTACCATCTCAGCTGGATTCCAGATGCATGAATAGTACAAGAGATAAGTCCGAATTGCGTCCAAGGCAATCTAGATAGTAGCCTTGTTTCCCTATTGCTCCTACAAAGACACAAACTCAAGCCGCAAGACCCTCCCTAACCTTCAAGTACTCCTTGCGGTACTGGTTCTCATCCGTCTCAGCGCTCCTGTTTAGCGGTGTCCATTTGGGCTCGTCCTTGAAAAGGCGCATAGCCTTTGTATACTGTAGTGTAGATATCATTAGCATTCGTCCACCTCACCTGTCCAAAGAAGAAGAAGAAGAAGATGATGATGAGGAAGAAGGCGAGGAAGCAGAAGCAGAAGCAGAAGCGGAAGAAGACAAAAACAAAGACAAAATAAAAAAGTGTAATCCCGCAAATCCACAAACTCACATTCCTCTCATCCGTCGTAAACCGATGATAAATACCACTGGGGAGAATAATCAAATCGCCCTTTTCGAGCCAAATCCGGACCCAATCGTCGTGCTCACCACGGACATCAAAGTAGCCCGCGCCATCGAGGATATAGCGAATCTCCTCGTCTTCATGCAGGTGCTCGCTGAAAAACGTCTTGACTTTTTCCTCGTAGACAGCGCCCAGGCTGTCCGGGCTGATGGTGACTTCATCCCGGTTCTTGTACTGACGTGACGCGGCGATGGAGTCGACGCCCGAAACGTCGGGGACGTGCTGGTAGATGACGCCTAGCTTTTCGAGATACGCGGGTGAGACGGGGCGGCCTGAGTTGTGGGGTTCGCGTTGGTCGCCCTGGAGGGGAGGGGAGTAAGTCATGTGGTAGAAGCGGGAAATATGGATTGCTTACCGGGAGGTTGTCAAACCAGTATGCCTTCATTTTGCAAGGTGATGTTGTGCAGAGGGATGTGCTTCAGTGGGGGGGCTTCAAGTAGTTGTGCTTTGCTTTAATGTGGTTGGGCGCACCTGTCAGCAAATGGTGAATAATTTGAGATGCCCAATTGCACGTGGCGAATTGCGTCATCCCCATTACACATGGAAAATCACCTAGTGCTAGCTAGTTGTTAGTCTACATACAGCGCCATACTCTTCACACCACGACATGTTGCCCTTGGTCAAGATTGCATAACACAGACTACAGTACAGCCCGTTTCCAGGAGATGCAATGGGAGCATCTAGCTATTGCCCTGGCATATAATACAGAGGATAGAAGTATACCGCAAGTGCGCCGGCACATGGTCGTCCCACCACGCATGCCCAATCATGCAATCCGAGCCCCTCGCTAAGTGGGACGCATGAATGCCCAGCTAAGATGCATGTGCGTCGAAAAGAAAACAATTACAAACACTGTCCATATCCCATCAATCATGTCTTTCAATTCCGTTCCGACCCCCGGCACACGCATGCTCAAAGGGTCGGAAGAGCCCAGGGTATGTCCAGCTAAAAATGCCAATAGTTCACATGAAACGATGGAGGCTCAACAGTGCGAGGTGAAGTCGTAGCTTTGGGGCCCACAAGACGCTATCTTGCAAAGACCTTTACTATACCATCACCACCTGCCGAGACAACGAGACGGCCGTCCTGGCTCCAGACGACACTACAGACGCCCTCGCCGCGCATGATGCGATGCGCTGTGATTTCTTGTGTACAGATGCGCTTGTCAAGTGACCAAAAGCGGATGGAAGCGTCGTGACCGGCAGAGACTGCTTCACGGCCATCTTTGCTGAGAGAAAGGGAAGAGATGGCAGCAGGGTGGGCCAGCATGCTATATGTACATTGACCTGGTATTGTCGTTAGCCGGAGCATGTTGGTAAGTGATGCGCGCAACATACCAGAGTTGGCATCGAAGAACCTGATGAGGTGATCTTCGTGCCCACTTATGATGACGCCCTCGAGGCCACCGCTGCTGTTGGATCCAGTTGGACCGTGTATTCCCTCTTCGTCAGACCCGCCTCGGCCTGCCTCTTGCGATGCACCGTCCAGGAGCTGGGAGCTGGTCACGACCGAGGTGATGCCAGTCGCCGGGGTGCCGTCGTACGACTCATTACTGGCCATGCCAATCAGCTCCTCGCCCGTTCTTGTGTCGTATACTAGTATGGATGCATCGGTAAAGGAAACAACAAAATTCTCGCCAGTGGGAGAGAGCGGGCTGATGCAGGTAGGCGAGGGGTGCGTGGCACGCTCAATCGTGTGTATGAGCATGTAATGGAATGGAGTGGTGGTGGCGATGCTGGGTTGAGGTGATGAGGGGTGGTTCGAGCCAGAGGTGACCGAGTGTCGTCGACTGCCACCAACACCGCGACGCGATCCAGTCTGAGGCGACACCAATTGCGGCGGTGCGCTGACGGCCCAAATCTTGATGGTCCCGTCTGCAGAGCCGGACGCCAGTATCACTCGGTCTGGACCGCCATATTTGCTGCAGTCGGCCTTGAAGACGTTGGCGCAAGTAGTGGGCAGGACGCACACAGTCCACACGGCATCGGTGTGGCCTTCGAGAGTAGCCTTTGGGTCGACGCGGCCTCGTTCCCAAACGCGGACTGTGGCATCTTGACCACCTGAAAATATCCAGCCGTCGCCAGAGACCCTACCGCCCGTTGCAAAGTGAGCCGAAGCTGGGCAAGCCGCCAGGCATGTCACGGCGCCCTCATGGCCTCTGTGCGACCAGAAGGGCTGGATGTCGAGGTCGTTGTTCATGCTGTGCTGGCTTGCGTAGCTGGCGGGTATCATCCACCTCTTGATCATGCCGTCGTCGCCTGCTGTGCAAATCTCTGGCTCACTGGGACTTCCACCTCCTGTGAAGATGACAGACCGTACTACGTCCAGATGACCGCGAAGGGCGAAGCGGACCTTGAAACTCTGCGGATCTGTCTTTGACAACGTCTGAGCGGCGGCTTGTTGGGCTTTCTGGTCGCTGCTCAGCCGCCTGGTATGGTCTTTGCTTGTCCTCTTAGCCGGCCGCGGCGGGGATTTTGCAGGTATGCTGTTTGCGGGCGGGAACTCTTCCGTGTCTGGTCTCCGCGGCGGGCCTTCCTGGGCTGCTTCGGATGCAGGGTCAAAAATCCAATCGTCCGACTCTTTCTCTTGGGCAGCCGCCTGGTTCGAGGCTGCTGCTGCTGCCGCTGCCGCTGCCGCTACTTCTTCCTCTTGCACTTGTATTTGCCGGCCTTCGTTGTCAAAAGAGTGCGTGACCTTTTCCACCTGCTCCTCGGGGACCGACGAATAGTGCTGCTGGGTTTGGAGGGGACGCTGCTGCTGTGCAAGGAGTTCTTGCGTCATGTTGGGGTTCTGGGACAGCGGCTGCTGCTGCGACGGCTCGCGAGCCATCTGCGGGGCATGGTGGATCTGGTGCTGGGCGGCCAAGTTCTGCAGCTCCGAGGTCACGGGCATGTTGGGGGGCTGGTGGTTGGGCTGGTGGTTGGGCATGGTGGTGCCGGGCAGGGTGGGGAGGTGCGGCTGCATCCTCTGGCGGTGCTGCTGCAGGTACAAGTCTTCCATGGAGGCGTCGCCATGGTTCAGGAAGCCGGTGCCGTTTGCGAGGCCCTGCAGGCCCTGGGGCGGCTGCGGCTGCGGCGGAGGGGTAAGGAGATAGGTGATTTCCTCGACGCACTTGGTGAGGTAGAGCTTCGACTTTTCGCGCAGGCTGTCGCGGTCGGCGTCGGAGCGGTCGAGGAAGTCGGAGTCGACGTCGAGGAACGAGTTGTGCTTTGTGTGCTGGGCTGTGTGCATGTCAGCAGAGAGCAGCGCCGCGCCGCGCCGCGCAGCGACATGCGGCTGGGCTGGGGAGGAGCACGCACGCTTGGTCGGGCCCGGGGCGCTCTTCTTGCCCTTGGGGTCTGTCTTGTCGTCGGCGGCGGCGGCGGCGTCGGCCTTTTTCTTGCGCTCGTTGGTGAGGGCCAGCTCGAGCATGCGGATGTGCTTGTTGAGCTGGTCGTTGAGCTTCTTCGCACTGCGCACCTCGCCCTCCTGCTTTGCAATCTTGGCCTTCATCTCGGCGCGCTCAATGTCCCAGGCATTCCGGGCGCGCTCGTGGTTGTGCCATTCGAGCTGGAGGAAGCGCATCACACCTGCACGACGATTAGCCCTGTGAAGTCCGGCGGGCGCTCCCCTAACATGGCGAGGGAACACGGCATACCCTGCAGCGTGTACTCGGTCCCTGCGGGCGCGCTGCCATCACCGCCGCCGTTGGCACCGCTGCCGTTCATGGCCGAGGGCGACTGCCAGGCCATGGCGGTCGAGTTCTGGGGTCCTGTGGCGGCGCACTAGTTGAGCAGCAGTCTGTGAGGGTGAGGGTGCGAGTGGGCATGCGGCGTGTCGGGGGTCGGCAAGAGCGCGGTCGGCGGCGACGTGTTCGCTGCCGCTGCCAATGTGGCCTGGGGGGGGGGGCGCTGGCGAGGGCGAGGCGGGGCGTGGGCAGCCGCTGGGCGAGGTCAAGCAGCGTGGACGGGGGCGAGCAGCAGACGGTGGGCGATGCGATGGAGGGGGGGCGTGGACAGCGGGTTTCGAGGGCTGCAGGCCTGGTGGTTGTTCGCATGCCGTTGCACTCGCTGGCTGCCTCTGAGGCCGCTGAGCCCTTCGCTCCTGCCCGCCCACGCTCGCAGGGGACGGGGGTAGCGCCGAAGCGGGACCCTGCCGCGCACGGGCCACATCACCAACATTGCCATGCCACAGCCAGAGAGCCGCTTCAACGGTACCACACTGCGCGCCGCTCGCCCACCCCGTCGCCGCCGCAGCCTGCCCGCCCACGGCATGGCATCCCCAGGTATCCCGCAGTGCACGCCCGCCCAGCACTCCCCCTCCGGATGCCGTGGGGGCGCTCGACATTCGCTGCCCGCTGCCCCCAGGGCATACACCTTTCCGGCCATACTCGCCTGTCCCAAACCGGCACCACGGCCAACACCCGCCTGACGCATGGCCAGCAGCATCCAGAACATGCAGACTTGCCTGTAAGTGCCCCCTCGTCTCCTTCTGCCTCGCGTCGCCAGCCCCCTGCCACTGCCTGTCCCAGTCCAGCCCACTGTCTTCTTCATCTGGGCATCCATGTTACATCATCGCTCAGCACAACATACGCCGTGCCTCCCCATGAGCTGCTCACCCCCTTGGACCTCAATCACACCGCTGACGCAAGACGCAGACATGCGGTTCCCAGGCCTAACGTGAAGCCCTGCACTAGTTTTGCCCGCTGCCCACCAGTGCGCTGAGTGCAAGCATCGGGCGCGAGCATCGAGTGCAAGCAACACGCAGCACTGTGCTGCTTGGTCTCATTGCACGCAAGTATGCATCCCGTTTCCTCAATTCACCCTAGCCCTCACTTTCTCGTCACATGTCGTCGTTTTCTGGCTCTTCTCTATATCCTTTTGGCACCTGTCAGATCCCATCTCTATGCTTAGCCTTGCTGGGCACGGCCTTGCCCGCCACGCCCACGCCCACACCAGCCATCTCAACGACGACTAGCCGACGTCATGTCGCACCTAATGGCCAAAAAACCAGGGCAGCATTCATCCCACAGTGGCACAGGCAGCCGTTTTGCGCGCAGTCCTGTGATCGCATACCGGGGCCTGACTTCGTTCATGCCAAGTGGAGCCTTCCCGATTGGTACATAGGCGCTCGACGCTACAACCTTGTCACAACATTGGAACAGCAAGAGACTTTACCACATTCACCCCACCTCCCGCCAACCACCACCGCATCCGACCGACCTCGAAAATCAGCCATTCCAGTCGCGCACACCCGCATATAGCACCGACACCGACAGCTCCCCCACATAAATCACCAGACATGGCCGGCGGTGGTAAAGGTACGCGCGGGCCCGGCGGCGCGCTCTGCAAGGCTTCGACGGCTAACCAAGCTGCGTAGGAAAGACAGGAGGCAAGACAGGCGGAAAGGGCGACTCGCAGGTCAAGACTCCAAAATCGCACTCCGCCAAAGCCGGTCTCCAAGTGAGTAGCTGCCCAATACGCGTCATCACCCAATCCACCCCACCCGTTCTTTGCCAGCCCGTACCCCAGGACGACGCGCTAACCTCTGCCGTTCTGTCCAGTTCCCCTGCGGTCGCATAAAGCGTCATCTGCGAAACCTCACGCGACAAAAGACGCGCATCGGCGCCAAGGCCAGCATCTATCTGACTGCCGTTCTCGAATACCTGACAGCTGAGGTGCTGGAGCTTGCAGGCAACGCCGCCAAGGATCTCAAGGTCAAGCGTATTACGCCACGCCACCTGCAACTCGCCATCCGAGGTGACGAGGAACTCGACACGCTTATCCGCGCCACCATTGCCTTCGGAGGTGTCCTACCGCACATCAACCGCGCGCTATTGCTCAAGGTCGAGCAGAAGAAGAAGAGCGGCGTGGCCAAGTCTGGCGAGGCGTAGAAGTCTGCTGGTCCTGGAAGCGCCTTGGTTAGCGGTCGCCAAACCGCCCGCTTATCAGGTCGAGCATGAGTATGCGAGTCGCGTGGCAGATGCGACAAATCGCAAGAGCGTGGAGCGCGCTGCCACTTTTGCTCAGTTTCTGTGGTGTACTGTCCTTTTCCGCAGACGGCAGCGCTTGCTGAAATCTCGGAATGGCAGCACAAGGATGTTAGCTTTCTTTCGTCAGGCGTGTGAAGGAACGGTGTTGAAGGTCATGTCTATTCTTTTTCTTTCTTCATCCTTTCGTGGTATGTAGTAACACACTCGAATTCCAATGTCACAGAGTAGCAGGGAGAGTCGGTTTGGCTTGCCTCTCCAATCATGAAAGCTTTGCCTTTTTTGCTTTCGGAAAGCCATCAAGCCGCAGACGAGACTTGTATCACGCAAGCGTGCAAGCGTGCAAGCAAACAAAACGCGGTGACATGGGCCCCAGCACCTGCAGGTCCGGGTCATTGCAACAGCAATCACGAGTCCTACTCTCGAGCCTCCGAGTTGCGGTAACACAGCAGGTATCTTCGGGTTTGGACAAACTCGCAGCGCATGATGGCTTGGTGGGGGCAGGCAGACGAAAAGCCGTATTTTAAGCAGAGCAGAAGACGTTGAAGAATGCGTCACTATTCCCTTGGTTTGGTTCACTTGATTCTTCTTGTTCTCTTCATCAAACCGATTGAATCTAGTATTTTCTTCCTTTGCTCTCCAGTCTTCTTTGATACAGAACTCTTCCTCCCCAGAAAACAACAACAACAACAACAACAACCATGTTCAGCGCCTTCTTCGACCATGACCCCTTCCACCACATGGCCGCCATGCCTCCCGCCCTCCCGTACGAAAAGTACTTTTCCCCACCTCCACCCAGGAGACAACGACAGCACGGTCATCATCATAACCATAATCATAACCACCACCGCCATGCATTCCACCCGGACGCTTCTCCCCCAAGCTACTTCTCCTCTTCCCCCTCTCCATCCCCAGACCAAGACCAAGACCACGATCATGATCCCTACTTCCACTCCGACTCTGACACTAGTCTCCGCATCCCAGCAGCACCGCTACCTCATCGCTACACTTCAAGCAGCAGCAACAACAACAACAACAACAACAACAACAACAGCAAGAAGAAGAACGGGCCGTCCCATAGTAATGGTACTAGTGGAACTGGTAGTATGACGATGCTAGGCGCAACACCAGGATTCCGCCGCACAACGCTCAAGCTGGCGCGCCGCACGTTTGAAAAGATAAATGCCATGCATCCTTCTTCTTTTTCTTCTTCTTCTTCTTCGTCGTCGGCAGCGGTGCTCATTCTGCCAGACCTACTAACGCCGCTGCTGGTTACCGTGTGGAATCCTACTAGTACTACTGCTGCGGGGGCAGCGTACACGCTGCGGGCTACTGTGGCGGGCGACATGCGGTTCTGCGATGTGGTGAGACAGATTGTAGGTGATGAACAGCAGCAGCAGCAGGGGGGCGAGGTGGTGAGGGCATATGTCAAGGTGAGGGGTGAGTGGCAGGAGCCCGAGGCTTGTTGTCGGGTGAGTGAGTTTGTGGAGCAAGTGGGGAGTAGTAGGTATGTGGGCGAGGTTCAGGTTAAGATTGAGGTTGGAGGGGGCAGTCGTGTTGGTGGTATTGGAGACGGAGCTGTTTCTGGGGGGAGACGCGGGTTCGCGGCATGGGAAAGGGAGACGGGGCGGGCGTGGGAAATTCGAGAGTAAAGGCTCTTCTTCTTCTTCTGCTTCTTCTTCTTCTTCTTCTTCTTCTTCTTGGTGGTGGTATGGAAATAGACAAGGTACACAGACTGCATCAGGCTCAAACATGGTTGTATAAAATGCTATTTGCGTAAATCCGCTTCTCGTTTACTCGCACCGCCCTAGACATCATGGCTCGCAGCTCTGGATCCTGAACGCCAAGCCTAATCTAATATGTTTAATGGTGTAGTGTAAGATGCTCCAAAGGCAGAAAAGGTTACAAGAAGATACTCAAAAGAGAGATGAAAAAAAGCTCTGTGCCAGGGAATCGCTGGTGGGGGGGGGGGAAGCAAAAAAAGACATGGTCCGCATTTGACAACACGTAACATGCCATAGAAACAAAGGAACGTGAGTCATTTTCCTTCATGCCATTCTTGTCATTTTTTGACGCTTCTACGACTTCAGGCTGTCTTGCATGCTCCTGCTGCTGGCGCTGAGGGGCATGTTGCTGGTAGGGAGAATCGTCTTGGGCTTGCTGTTCTGGCGGATCTTGGCTAGCGCGTAGACAAGGCCACTGATGAAACCAACGATAATGGCAGAGACACTGCCAAAGGTAACGGGCGCATCGAAGAAGACCAGACCGCTAAGAGCAATGGGGAGCTTGTTCAGCGCGCCGACCATCGAGTAAGTTGTAGATGACGTGACACGGACAGCCCAGGCAGATGTGTATGAGATGAAGACGGTAGAGAGACCGGACACAATCATGACAATCATGACGGTGTTGCGCTGGTCCGGGGGAAAGTTCTTCTGGATGTTTGCAGAGGACCAGTCTTCGACGAGGATCGATGCGACGAGCAGAATGGGAATGGTGAGGAGGTTGTTGTAGTACATGGCTGTTACAAGTTAGCGTAGTCGACCGTTGCGAACGGTAATAGACTCACTGTCAAAGTCCTTGAAGTTGGTGAGCTTGATGCGCTTGCGCATGCCCAAAACATACGTAGCCGTGCACAGGCAGTTGAACATCATCCAGAGGTAACCGGCATGCAGGGTAGACATGGCATCGGTGGAGGCGGCTGAAGAGTTGTTCATGCTAGCCAACGCATGCTGAATGTCTGCCCAGGCCGCAATGACGGAGCTAAAAACCATCAATCCGAACGAAAAGAGAGCCATTGGCGTAACCGCGCCTCCGAACCAAAGAACCTCTCCGTATGCGATCAGGATAATGGTCAGGTTCTTGAAAATGGTGTAGACGGGGATCGAGAGGAACTTGAGGGCCCAGGTGCTCGTGTAGATCATGCCGATGAGGAGGAGAGAGATGGGGAACCCTGGTCTAGTTAGAGAGATTCCAGGAGCTGCCGCATCGGGCGAACGTACACTTCTTGGCCTCATCGCTGTTGAAGTCGCGGTACGTGATGATGCCGGCGGCTTTGCATATCGAGATTGCGGCAACGCACACAACCGACTGTCGCGAGTTAGACGGGGCGGTCTGCGTGGGCGAGGAATCGGCATACCTGGACGCAGAGAAGGAAGAAGTTGAGGTTGAAGTCGACGCCGGAAAGCACGTATTTGTTCGTAACCGTCATGAGGATGGACGAGCCACAGTAGGCCAGAATGGCCGCGACTGGGTTCTCCGTTACCGACGCCGCGCCGCCGCGGTGTGAGGATGCGCGTGGCAGCGGCGAGGGCGCGCGGAACTCCTTGCCCGAAGGCATGTCGACTCTGTAGTCGTCGCTTTTCTTGTCGTCAGACATTGTGGGGGAGCGTAATGTGTTCACAATGACCAGATGTACGTAAGCGGTCGAGGTATGCGGCAGCGACAGGAATGTCCCGTGGGTCAAAGGACAGCTAAGTGGCGGCGACTGTACGACGCTGGGTGAGGGGCTGTGGAAGGAGGGAAGAAAGAGACACGAAGAGGAAGAGGAAGAAGGCGAGCGTCGCAAGAGAGATGCGCAGGGACGCGAGTCGGGTGGGTCACGGCGATGCTTGTCCCCTGGCCTGGAGTTGCTGGTCTGTAGCCGTGGTAATTTCAAATGCCACTAAACCGCCTTGGAACACGAGTAAACCTTCATGTCAGCATCCCAGCCCGCTATCTAGGCATGCAGTCTGTTCTATAATTGGCCGCCGTATCCTCCTGCTCCGTGTATTGACAGCTGCACTCTATCCAGGTACTTCCTGGCGTTGCATTGTCCAGCCAGCCGTTGCAGCGTCCGCGAGGCGTCTCCGCTGCGGCCGTTTATCGCCACGTGACCCTCCTTATCGAACCGCCGCTATCTCTCTCCTTATTCTTACTCTGCCAGCAACCCCAGACAATTTCCGAAATGACCTCGCTAGACCCAAAGGTTGCTTCGCTCGTCGATCGGGCCGCGCGCGAGGACGAGTCGGACGAGGATGCACTTATCGCGTCTCTGGAAGACGACGAAGAGCTGGATGCTTTCCGCGAGCAACGACTCCAACAATTGCACCAAGAGTATGACAGGGCGCGGCGGCTGAAAGAGAGCGACCACGGGACGTATACAGAGATCAAGGACGAGAAGGCATTGATGGACCTTACAACAAGCACCAAATTGTGTGTGGTGCACTTTTTCAAGCCCGACTTCAACCGCTGTCGAATCATGGACACGCATCTCGAGGTAAAAAAAAAACTCACATGGAGATAGGAAATAATTGCTGACGTGAACAGTCACTGGCTCCGTCCCACTATGAGGCCCGTTTCCTGAGGATCAACGTGGAAAACTGCCCATTTCTTGTCACACGTCTGGGGATCCAAGTCCTCCCATGTGTGATTGCTTTTATTGACGGCGTGGGGGCTGATCGCATCATTGGGTTCGAGGGGCTCGGCCACACTGAGCAGACCTTTACTACCCGGGACCTGGAGGCTAGGCTGATCCGGGCAAACGTGCTTGCACGAAACAAAGTCAATGAAGAAGACGAGAGGCGGAGGCTACAGCGCGGTAAAGAGAAGGAACAGGAAGACGAGGACGATGACTGGGATTGAAGAGCAACAGGCTCAAGTCTTACGGCCGTGCGCAGCTGAGCTGAAATGATGAGAGAGACATTTCCTCATATCAACAGGGAGGCTGCAGTTTACACCGTCGCTCGCCAGATGAGACAACAGCAAGCCTCAAGAACAGCCTGCCATTAGGCGCACAACAAGCAAAACAACTTTCATGGTTGCCATTGAGGAAACAGGCTGATTCCTCCCGGTCCAGCAGCAACAGCCCAACATCTCAATCATATCCAAACAGTGCAGCAAACAATGACAAACAACACGGCGATTATGTTGAGTGCAATGGGCCAGGCATGTGATGGATTTGCCTTTCTGCAACACAAACAATCATCTGCACGCCAAGCAACATGAGACGAGGGAGTGGGCAACAGACGTGCACGAGACACTTGAATCGACTTGGATTCATGACCAAAGAACCCATTTCAACATGCATCATTGATATTTTGTGTGGAGTTGGACTGTGGGTCCATGTGTAGTGTCCTGGCCTATGGAACTCCAAGAGTGCGGCGTTAACGCGGGAGATCTGTGCATACATGCCTAACTAAAACATTTGCAAGCAACAGACACGGGGGGCCTTATCAGGCACTGAGCGTCACCATGCGTCAAGTTCTTTGAACTACCGTAACGTCACAGCTGCTCTACAAGTCGCGTTGCGCTAGCTCTTGAGCTGACTGCAAACTCACCATGGAGGCGTCTGCGCTGGCCGGTGTTGTATGTCTATTCTGATTACGCGGCCCCATGTCTGTCGTCAGCTTCCAAGCCCGCAAGCTAATGCGAGCTCCAGATAGCCGCACTGCCGCAATGCATTGAATCCGCAAGGCAACTTTATGACCTTCGCACAAAGTACAAAGACGCCTCTGTGCTCATCACAGCCATCTACTCCGAGTCGCAGGTTGTCGCCGCCACCCTCTCTCAACTCCAAAACCTGCTCGAACACGATACGCTCCGCAAGAAACCCGAATTACTCGAGACGTTCGATCGTGCACTAACAAATTGTCGCGTCGTATATGCATGTCTCGATGAGGAGGTACGGGAGCTGGTCCTGAAGGCTGAGACGGATGACCTGAAGTTCAGGGATCGGGCAAAATTTCTGTGGAAGGAAGATACATTCAAAGAGCTGCTCACTCAGATCCGAGGGCAGCAATCAGGCCTTAATTTGTTGGTGCAAGGACTCCAAATAGAATCCATTGCAGACATCAAGAGACTGGTACAAGACAACAGCGTGACGCTTGAAATGGCACTAAAAGGGACCAAGACTCTCCGACAGACGCATCCAAAAGTCAAAGTACCAGAGTCGCTCTTCAACCGTCAAGACATACAGGGTGAGGGTTCCGACAATGAATTACTCCAATTGGATACTGAATTCGCATTCGACGACGATGTTGTCAATTCCAAAGCCTATCGTCGCGTCATGGCAATGGCCCTTTCACGCAGCAGGACTAGAGTGCTCGATGATCCAAAGACTGGGCCACGAGAAGAAGAATCGACTGCTCTTGGGACCGTACGTCAAGACGACGAGAGTAAAGATGCATGTAGCACAATCATCCCTCTAACTTCGGGGGGCGAGGATGCTGCAAACGTCACACCAGAATCTGATGCTAAGCCAGAGTCTGCAACTCAAGCCGCTCCTGCGAATGAACACAGCGACCTTTTTGGTACTCTTGAGCGCGATGTTCTTGCATGCATGCCTCCGGCTACATCTATAAACGTTCAGTCGACTCCGAATCTGACGCTGACTAGTACTGGCAACCCAAGTGCTGGAAAACTAACTCCTTCACCGATAACATTGCCTAGTGGCAAATACGACACTGTTGAACTGGAAGCGACACTCCCACCATTACCTTCTCGTCATCCAAGTAATGACAGTTCTGCAGCATCTACGCCCCAAATGCGTTCGGTCTCGTCTGACAATAGCATGTACACTTCGGATGCGCCCACCACCTTCTCCCAGCCATCAGCAGGGTCATTGTACACCATACATTCAGCCTCTGCGACGAGCCCAAACCTCCTGGCTCGACCTCTGCGGAAACCATTGCCACCTGCGAGCAAAAGATCATATAGCAATCTCCGCGACAGAATCGATGCACCATCTGAACACACACCTTCGATCCCTGTACCACCATTCCGCAACGCAGAGATTCGCGCTATATGGAGTTTCCTCATCGATTCGGAAAGAAAATATATCGACCGCATGACAAAGTTCAAACGCATATTCTACGACCCCGTGATAAGACAATGGCCCATCCTAGAGAAACACCTCAGCGCAATCCTCATCGGCGAACAACTCGCCATCTGCCACGAGCACCATATCCTGCGCGCCCTGGACCAAAACCTTCTCTCCGCTCACCCTGAAACTACCTGCGATCCCAGCGTTATCGAAGCCTGGATTCCAAAAGCCCAACAGCTATACCGTGAATACACCTGCAAAATGCCCCACACAGCGTCGTCGTTACGGAAAGCACAAACTGCAGATACGCGATTCACACCGTTTATCAATACGCTTGGTCTCAGCTTCGTGTACTTTAACAGGGGCTGGGAAGACTACTTGCAGCTTCCGCGGCTGCAGCTGCAATCCTACAGCGATAATCTGATGAACATGGTTGCCATTGCAGAGACACTGACTACACCGGCGGCAAAGCAAGAGCTGGAGAGGCTACGATGGGCGCTGCAGGCTGTGAAGGACTTCAACGCCTCGATAGCCGTCCTGCACGAAGCAACGCAGGGCAAGGAAGACGTACAGAACGTGTACAAGCGGCTTCGCATGGACAGTGACGATTTGTCTAGCCTATGTTTACTTGATCCAAGCCGCAGAGTCAAGTATCAGGGTGGCATGGCGCTGAAATATCGAAGTCAAGGGCCATGGATTCCCATTCACGCCGTGCTATTCGACCACTGTTTTGTGTGGGGAAAAACAAAGAAGAGTAAAGGCGACGAAATCCCGGTTACCGGCAAACCTGTTATGCTTTCCGATGTGGAATTTTCGCTCCCAAACGAGAAGCACACGTTTCAGAAGGCGACGATGCTGCACCAGATTACGAGGGGATCGGCCGTGTAAGTGAATTATATTGGTTGTTTTTTTGTGATGCAAGAATGCTGACGACTGGTGGGTGCAGGTACTATATTATCGTTAAGAATATTACTATGGGGAGTAAACCAAGTCTCCTGGGCGTGTACAGTACAGAAGAGAGGGATGTGTGGTTTAATCATCTCATCACGGCAAAGTCCCGCGCGTCTACCCTTCCCATACGGAAAAATATATCAACGGAACGTTGATGTTATGAGCACTGGCCTGCAATATATGTACGGACCCAATACCGGCAAGGATCCAATTTCGTAGATCTAGCATCACGTACATGAGCTTTGTTTAAATGAGGGCTGAAGACAGGGTCTAGGGTCACGCACGGGAGGAATTGTTAGAGAATAGGATGTAATGCTAGTAATGCTTGCTGAGGTTACAACGATAAGAAGTTTATGTAGAGAAGGGGTTATTGGAATGCAGGATTTGAGGTCATGTGCGGTAGCGCTCAGGTGCTGGGAATGGGAACGAGATCCCCTGTCACCACTACCTGGTACCTAATGAGTCTATGACCAATCATGGCTAAACCTGTACCTACCTAGGCTGACAAAGGTGGGTGGGTGGCACAGCGCTAAGGGAATCACCATTCTTCACACTTACTACGAGGAACCTTCAATTATTGAGACGACTTCTTTTCTACGGGTTCCTGCTTCCCAGTCTTAGATTCATGCTTCTCAATCGTCTAGCTCGTCAGATAATCCCAATTCCACGGATAAGCATCAGAATGGCGTCCACCATTGTCGGCAAATCCGGCCGTGTATACACTCAGCGCGGCGTCCTGCAGGAGCGCAAAGACGCCAGCATGAGCATCTTCAAAGCCGAGTAAGTAGTTAAAACCTCAAAGTTGAAGTTCCGCTCAACAAGATTCTTTCTAGATCTCACGACAAATCTTTCGTTCTCAAGCGCGTGTCCAAGCCATTCTACGACTTGTCGTTACGCCTTGCAGCCGATCTCCCAGAGTCTCGTCGGCTGCGCATGCATACTGATGTCAGCGAAGACGAAAACGTGCTAATCTACCCGTACTACCAAGATACTCTGCTTGGACTGCTCCGGGAAGATCCAGAGATCTCAGATGCAGCACGCAGCAAAATCTTGCGGGACACAGGAGAAGCCATTCAAGAACTGCACAGCGAGAACTGGATCCATATTGGTACGATGACTACCAATCTGTATTTCCATCGTGCATGACAGATTTCTAACCACGAATTCAACTTGGCAGATATCAAGCCCGATAATATACTGCTCAACTGGACGTGCGACGAAGAGGGTACTAAAACAATCACACACGTTGCTTTAGGGGACTTCGACATCGCTTTCAAGCTGGAAGCGGGAGCACTGCTCTACACCAGGCATGCAGTAGGCAACGCTATGTGGCGCAGTCCTGAAGGCCAGACTGGGAGAGGTTTGTCCAAGGCATCAGACGTTTACTCATTCGGGCTTGTTGTAAGTCACCCTCCAATTGCTGTTTCCATCAGTATCATTCGAAGAAACCCAGAATAAGTGTTCACACAATGCATATACACCCTGGGGGCTGGGGAATTGCTGCTCATCAACAACTATCAAGAGCTCGTCAAGCTGGGCATAACTCCCGAGCAAGAAATCCTAACACGGCACTTCTCCTACTTTGGCTCAGCAAACGACGGCCTTCTCCGCCGCATTTCAAGCGAGAAATGGGCAAAGGCTTTCAAATCAGCATCTCAGATGGCGGAGTTGGCCGTGCAAGACCAGCCTGAAATGAGTTTTGAAGTGTGGGGCCAAGAGTTGGGTTTGCAGGCACAGGACATGATATCGCGAATGACCAAAATGGATCCGCTGGCTAGGCCGGAGATAGACGATATCTTGGCGCATCTGTGGTGGCAGGAAGAGACGGCTGGATGCATAGTTGGGGTGGCGACGGGACTTTGTGCGTTTGTGTGTCTTGGAGGGTGAATACAAAGCCACGAAGCTGATACGTGGCGAAGCGATGTTTCACGTCGCATTATATCAGTCTTAGTATGTCCTCATCGAAGCTCGGTACATGCACATAATAATTTGCATCTATCAACGTTATGATTTTATGGTTTCGCGCGAAGGAGGAAGGGTATCATTTCTGATAATACATCGACAAACTTGAACAGGCTCCTATTAGCGTTGGGATGTTACTCCTGAACAAGGATGTGGGAAGATCTCAGAGATTACCGGGCCCTTTGAAGAGCAATGGGGTACCCTCACCGTCCAGAGAATGTTGGCCTTTATGCATGACCGTTCCGGCTTCGAGCCGAACGATAACTTAGACTGGTTTGCGAGCTGCTGCGAGGCTTATTCGGAATGGCGTCGTGTGCTGGAATCCAAGTGCGAACGCCATATCCAGCCAAAGAATGGCATCATCAAGCACGAAGACCTACGTGAGCTTCGAGATGTTCTTCAGACATATACTAACTTGCCAGAATTTATGCGAAACACATTGGCGTGCCTAACCGCCAACGCCATCAAGGACCGACCGACCACGGATATCATAGAGACTCATCAAGTCGCATATCACAAGCCGTCCTGTATGTTCAATGCCACGCAGCTGGATCGATTGGCATCTCCGCAAAGCCATGTGTACTGCGTCAATTCCGGAAACGTTCACTGCGACAACTATGTCGAGGTCCGAGGTGAGGCCAAGCTGGAGGGGCACTACGTACCACTGTCGTTACTGTGACCCAGCAGACTTTAGCCAAGTGTTCCACCATGTGGTCTTGGCCCATAAAACCCTTCTTCCGTGGGCGTTAGTCACTCGCGAAGGCAGGCAATTCAATTTCCACGCCCCGTTGGGCGCTGATACCTCCGAGCCGCACCATACCTTTTTGCCTACGTATTTTGGCAGTATGAAGATACTACCAAACATGCCAAGCGGCCAAGAGGTGTACGCTCGCGTCGACCGCTGGGGCAAGTTTAGGACTGCGGCGCAAATCGATGAGGCGGCTGGCCTGCGGAAGCGGACTATATTGCGTGTAAAGGGCCCATCCCTGAGGCTTCCTGATAATTCACAGGTGCCGGGTGAGGCTGCTTCACCAGAATTATCCATGGACATGGATGTAGAACCATCAATGCTTACCCAAAGACTAGAGGTTAGAGGGCAAGTTCGTGCTCAAGCCCGTCCACCTGCGAAGAAAAACACCAATGTCCAGCGATCAGAACCTGCCGTGCTGGCCGCAAAGCGTTCGAGGCCCTTGGAATCCACAGATGAGCCTGTAGTGGCAGACACACCACCGCAGCAAGCAGCCGCACTCACAACAACTTTCATGGACCGAGCGCTATTTAATCTCGAGCGACAGGCCCAAGGTCAGACCGCAGAATCTCCTCGTGAATTGCCACGGGCTCCAGAAGTATCGTTTTGTCAACGAGAGGAGAATGCGAATCTCCTCGAGCCGGGCCCTCCTTTACTGCTTGTCGCAAACAACGAGACCTTTACTATTACATCTGACGACTCATTCGACCTCGAGCATGATATCCGGCAAAACGAGAAGTGGCTTTCGAAGATGGGAAACGGAGACAATGGATCGGGTGAGGTTGCTGGGCTCTTTGGCTTCAACTTTCATCACAGCCTGCGTCGTGAGGGAGACGAATCCGATACTGAAGAAGAGACGCCGCTTGCTGGAAAGGCAGAGGAAAGGCCAGGGGCTCCAGTGACGGATGTGCTCGGCTCTCCTCAAACGAGCATGCTGACTAGGCACCGGGAAAGAGTATCGCAGTCGTTTGCTTTGGACGCAAGTTCTGGTACTTTGATGGATACCGGCAACGAGAAGGCCGTTTCGCAGCCATTCAGCGGCCGACTGGACCTTGAGCGCATAGCTCCGCTGCAGTCGAGTGGTGCACAGGCAGATGCAACTGAGCATGCGCGTGAGTTTGGCGGTGCAGCGGTGGAGTTGCCTGGGTGGGCGGAAATCCAGAAGAGTGTTGGGGATGGTGGTAGTATTCCAGACACGGAGCCGGGAGAATCGTTGCATGCGGATGTGGATGAGTAATGGTTGGGCGGGTAGTCTTAGCTGTGAAGGGTAAAGGAAGCTCGGGTGGATAGGAAGCAGATTAATAAAGGCGCTTGTCAGATGACCGTGTGCATAACCGTTTTTCCTTTGTCGCCCTGTGTTGCATCGTTACACCTGGTTTTTAAGTGGAGCTCGTGCGAATCGGCCAAAGTTTTTGCGTTGCCAGGACGGTAGGTAGTGAGGCTGTACTTGGCACCCCCGCCAGATGCTCTCGAGGTTGATGCATGCTGTGCACGCACAAGTGCCGCTGGCCACGGCGACACTTGTCCGCCACACGTGGGCAGCAGTGTGTATATGTAGCGACGGCCTGGCTACAGGTGGAGGGGGCGGCGGGCGAATCAAATCATTGTGCCGGGCTGCGGATGATTATCAAACACCAACGGGGGCAGCAGTCGAGTGCCCCGCCATGGCAGCGGCGAGCTTACCAATGCAGCGCGCCCAGCCTAGTGGTAGTTACTAGGCGAGCAGAGGAGGGGCCGGGGCAATGCAGCACTGGCAGGGTGGATAGCAGGACAGTGGCAGTACTGTAGGCGCTCGGGGCATTGGGCGTGCTCGATGGCGGGGTATTGCGCCGCCCGCCCTGGAGACGGGAGCTCAACCAGCTGTCATGGCGGGCATGGCGCGACACGAGCAGCGTCCAAGTCGTGCTTGGCCGTGCCGAGCGGTTTGGCCTGGCTGGTTCTGGTCGGTCGACGCATTTCCGACGCGGTGCAGGCCTTAAGGGGGCGTGGCCGAGCTGGGCCAGCCTTCTCCGGCACGCCGCGGTGCAGTGCGGCGACAGGCCGTGCAGGCGGCTTAGTGATGGTTGCGGTGCGGACACATGGCCAGGCTATGGCTGTTGACTGATGGGGTGTCAGACGGACGGCGTCAAGGGGGCGGCAGGCTTTCGTGTCTGGTGCTGGTCGGGTCGGGTCCTGTCACTGTCGTGTCTGATAGATACTTACTGGCCCTATCGCCGGCGTTGGAGCGGCAAATTGGCCAACGTCACCACCACGACCGCCGCGCTAGAGCACGTCCGACAACCCCACCAGCCACTGTAGCTTTTCTTTCGCACACCACGCTCTATCCGTAGCTTCCGTCCTTCTACCGCGTCTCTCTGCCTGACCCGATTCCCATTGTCCGTTGCAGCCCTTGATTGAGCTGTCATCTCTGCAACCGCGCCTTTGCCAGAGCGATTGCACCCCTCAACCCCAAACAACCCCCCATCTCGCCATGGCCGACACTGTCATCCAGCCGCAGCACGAGGTGGCCAATGCCGGGTACGTGACCTCAATCCTGCGCTCTCGGGGCATGGCCCGCGAGGGAGAAGACGCCTCCATTTGCCTTGGCTGGATTTGTCCGGCTGTTGTTTCTGGCCGAGTCGAGTCGAGTTGCTCGATGAAAGAGGGGCCGCTCCTTGCGCCCGCCCCACGACCATCACCCACGCCTGCTGAACACGACGGCTAATCCGAGCGCCCGCACAGAAACATGGAGCTCAAGGACAACACCATCATTGTTGTTCTCGGCGCCTCTGGCGATTTGGCCAAGAAGAAGACGGTACGTACACGTTGTTGAGCCGCGCGGGGGCGGGATGAGACGTCAGACTAACATGACACCAGTTCCCAGCTCTGTTTGGTCTTGTAGGTTACACGGCCTAGCTGCGATTGCGCCCTCGTTGACCACGGATATAGCACCGGAACAACTTCCTTCCCAAGAACATTCGCATCGTCGGCTATGCGCGCACCAAGATGGACCACGACGAGTACCTCAAGCGCGTCAAGTCGTACATCAAGACGCCCACAAAGGAGATTGAGCAGCAGCTAGAAGAGTTTTGCGGCTTCTGCACCTACGTCGCCGGCCAGTACGACCAGGACGACTCCTTTCTCCAGCTCGAAAAGCACATGCAGGAGATTGAAAAGGGCCGCAAGGAGACCAACCGCGTCTTCTACATGGCGCTGCCCCCTAGCGTCTTCATCACAGTTTCCCAGCACTTGAAGCGCAACTGCTACCCCAAGAGCGGCATTGCTCGTGTCATTGTAAGCCAGTTGCGTGCATCCGCCCTGTGCCGTGCCACTAACGACCGGTGTGCAGGTTGAGAAGCCATTCGGCAAGGATCTCCCAAGTTCGCGCGAACTGCAGCAAGCGTTGGCTCCAGACTGGACTGAAGACGAGCTGTACCGCATCGACCACTACCTCGGCAAGGAGATGGTCAAGAACATTCTCATTCTCCGATTTGGTAACGAGTTCTTTGGCGCAACCTGGAACAGAAACCACATCGACAACGTTCAGGTACGAGGAGCTGAAGCCGGCCGCAGCTGGAGATATTGACGAGCACAGATTACCTTCAAAGAGCCCTTTGGCACAGAGGGGCGAGGAGGCTACTTTGACGAGTTTGGCATCATCCGTGATGTCATGCAGAACCGTGAGTGACCAAATGCGGTTCCCAGGAAAAGGCGACTGACAATGGCAGACTTGCTGCAAGTGCTGACTCTCCTGGCCATGGAGCGGCCCATTTCCTTCTCTGCCGAAGACATCCGTGACGAAAAGGTGCGCGTGCTCCGTGGCATGGCGTCCATCGAGCCCAAGAACGTCATCATCGGACAATACGGAAAGTCGCTGGACGGACAGAAGCCCGGCTACAAGGAGGACGACACGGTGCCCAAGGACTCGCGATGCCCCACGTTTGCCTCGATGGTTGCGTACATCAAGAACGAGAGGTGGGACGGTGTGCCCTTTATCCTCAAGGCCGGAAAGGCTCTCAACGAGCAGAAGACCGAGGTCCGCATCCAGTTCAAGGATGTTACTTCTGGCATTTTCAAGGACATTCCCCGCAACGAGCTCGTCATCCGCGTGCAGCCCAACGAGAGTGTTTACATCAAGATGAACTCCAAGCTGCCCGGTCTCAGCATGCAGACTGTCGTCACAGAGCTTGACCTCACGTACAGACGGCGATTCTCGGACCTGAAGATCCCCGAGGCGTACGAGTCGCTCATTCTCGACGCGCTCAAGGGCGACCACTCCAACTTTGTGCGTGACGACGAGCTCGACGCCAGCTGGAGGATCTTCACACCTCTGCTGCACTACCTGGACGACAACAAGGAGATTATCCCCATGGAGTACCCATACGGTATGTGCTGTATGACTATGAAATTGGACGGTTGCTGACTGACTCGCAGGCTCCCGCGGCCCCGCCGTGTTGGACGACTTTACTTCGTCCTACGGATACAAGTTCAGCGACGCAGCAGGTAAGACCTCGCCTCTGTAGCGAACCGGCAACACGTCACTAATACAGCTACAGGATACCAATGGCCAATGAACGAGCAGAAGTTGTAGGGGCCAGGTCGAGCACGCGGGAAAAGGGCAGCAAGTTTGGCTTGTTTTGATGTCATGATCAGCCTCGGCAGCTTCTTTTTTTATACGAATGCAAGCAAGTGAATAGATAATGAATGTAACGACGCCTCCATGTCGCAGGTGGCCATGCATGTGTATGTCAAGAGTGGTGGCCGGAGCGGGTGCATTGCTGCTAACCGTAGGGGTGGAATTTAGGCTTCTGTTTCCGAGAGCGGAGGACTCAGGCCTGGGCGATGGTGGGGGTAGAGAGGCTAGAGCGCGATGGCATCATCAGCAGATTGAGAAATTTTTGAGACGCGTCTGAGCAACGCGGGCTGACTCAAACCAATTAGATCTGACTGCATGCCGCAATGGGCGAGTCCAGCAAAGGCTGATTGCTAAGAAAAAAAAAGTGGAGAGCGTCTTTTGTCGGTGTCGGTGTCGGTGTCAGTGTCGCTGTTGCTCATACAGTAGTCGCCGCCGGTACCACTATTTTCATTGACGCTGTTGGAACCCGGCTAGCCATTTTACCTGTGACTCGATATTACTCGACAAGGAGCGCCTCGGGGTATTTATAGTCGAGCACTCTGAGCCTCCGGATCGTGCGACCTGATTGAGTTGTCGCATCCCTCCTCTCTCCGCCGAGCAACCTCCGCAATCACCTCCGCGTGCGCCCGCCCACCATGACTCCCGCCCAGGATATCGCCGGCAGCGGCAACATGCCCTCACGCTCCGTGTCCAACAGCCTCAACTTCAGCACCAGCCCGTCGATTCCCTTCCACAGCCCGCCGTCGACATTTCGCCAGCCGCCGTCGCTCAACACAAGAGATGGCCGCTCGCATGCGCAGCAGCTCGCCAAGCAGCTGAAGCCGTTCGACACCAAGGACATCAAGGTGCTTCTGCTGGAAAATGTCAACGAGGCGGGTGTCCAGATCCTCCGGGACCAGGGATACCAGGTCGAGGCAATCAAGGCCAGTCTGGGAGAGGACGAGCTGATTGAGAAGATCCGCAATGTCCAGGTCATTGGCATCCGCTCCAAGACCAAACTCACCAAGAAGGTCTTGGACGAGGCCAAGGACCTGATTGTCATCGGCTGCTTCTGCATTGGAATGAACCAGGTCGACCTGGAGGCTGCGGCCAGCAAGGGAATTGCCGTCTTCAACTCGCCCTTTAGCAACTCGCGCTCCGTTGCCGAGCTCGTCATTTCGGAAATCATTGCGCTCGCTCGCCAGCTTGCCGACCGCTCCATGGAACTGCACAATGGCACTTGGAACAAGGTCAGCAAGGGCTGCTGGGAGATTCGAGGCAAGACACTGGGCATAGTCGGATATGGACACATTGGTTCGCAGCTGAGTGTGCTGGCCGAGTCGATGGGCATGAACGTCATCTACTACGATGTCCTGACCACCATGGGTCTGGGAACTGCGCGACAAGTAGCGACTCTCGACGACCTCCTGTCAGAAGCCGACTTTGTCTCGCTACACGTTCCCGCGCTTCCCGAGACCAAGAATCTCATTGGCAAGGCGCAATTCGCAAAGATGAAGGACGGCAGCTACCTCATCAACAATGCTCGCGGCACCGTCGTCGACATTCCAGCGCTGATTGAGGCCAGTCGGTCTGGCAAGCTCGCAGGAGCAGCCATTGACGTGTTCCCCAACGAGCCGGCTGGCAACGGCGACTACTTCACGAGCGAGCTCAACACATGGACCAAGGACCTTGTCGGCCTCAAGAACCTGATCCTCACCCCCCACATTGGCGGCAGCACCGAGGAAGCGCAGAGCGCCATTGGTGTCGAAGTCAGCACAGCGCTGGTTCGCTACGTCAACGAGGGCACGACGCTCGGTGCCGTCAACATGCCCGAGGTCAACCTTCGCGGCCTGACGCTCGACCAGCCAGACTGCATGCGTGTCATTTACATCCACAAGAACGTCCCCGGTGTCCTGAGACAGGTCAACGGCATCCTGCTGCACCACAACATTGAAAAGCAAATGTCGGATTCAAAGGGCGACGTTGCCTACCTCATGGCGGATATCAGTGAGGTCAAGGAGGGAGAGATTAAGGACTTGTTTACGAGTTTGGAGGAGTTGTCGTGTAAGTGTGCTCTCTACTTTTTTTTTCTACTTACAATTTCGTGACTAATTATTCAACAGCATGCATTCGTACGAGAGTCTTGTATTAAGAAAAGCGGAGCAATCACAGACGCGGGGGTGTAAAAAATCGGTGAGGGGGGCTGGGGTAACATTGCTGCAAAAAAAAGTTACTGTGTGTTTGAAGGAAAGAAGGGGAGGGGCAGCTTTGACTATGTCTCTGTCTCTGGGGGATCTTTTTTCTTTTCTTTACATGTATATTCTAGTAGCTACTTTCTTCAACAGCAAAGTTCAACAATGGCCGGCTACAAGAGCTATTATTATCAGAACAAGACTGACTACGGCTGCGTGCGGCATTAACCATCCCCCCCCCTCCCCCTTTCGCCCTCAGCCTTTGTACGCATCGGTGTACACCGGATATCGATTTATTTATTTCGATCTTTGCAAGGTGTACCCCCCTTCTTTTCTTGGATTTACTTTTTTTGTATTTCACCGTTCTATCCTTGGGTGACTTTTTTTTGGGAGGGGAGGGGAGGGGGCCTTTATTTTTGTTTTTTCCTGGCAATAACGTTTCTGCTAATGATGCTGTTTGCTTTTTTTAGGGCTTGCGCTTCTCTCGGATCTACTTGCTTTGTCCTTCTGGAAATGCGTGCATGGTTCTCTCTTTTTTTTTCCCGTGATTGGGTTTCCTGATTGGGTACGTACACAACTGTGCTGGCTGGAGGCTCGTTAAGAGTTGCCTCCCGCCCGTTTACTGTACCCAGGGACGAGGTTATGCAGCACAAGTTGGTGTGGGTGGGTGTGGGTGGGTGTGGGTGGCCAAGTTAACGTGTGTTCGCCGGGTGGAGGTTACACTGGCACTGGGTCGGAAGGGCGTGGGTGAAACATGGACGCTTGCGTGAACCACGCGTTGGCGATGACAGCTGCACGACGGGCACAAAGGGGTCTTGTCGCCCGTTTATGCTGGGTGGTCATAGCCGCGGCCTTTTGCTCGAGTGTGTGTGTGCTGTGCCTGGCGGTGGAGTCGGGTGTACATACATGTATGTATGTATGTATGTATGTATGAATGTGGCGGGCGGTGGAGGAGTCATGGCCAGTTTGCGGCTGTCATGGCATACCAACAGGATCCACCGTCGTGGATCGGGGCAGAGAATGGGACGCGTACCATGGCACGGCCCGATGGGGCTTAGCGCAGGGTCGCCGTCGTGGCAGCAGGCAGCGTGGAAAGGCGGCCACGGCCACGTGACGCTGCATACAGACATGGCACATATGCATGGCGTGCAGGCGGCCGGGCATGCTAGCGCTCGAGGGTGGCTGGTTCAACAGAGCGGGCATGACTGTGTGTCTATGTCGATACAGTATCGATGTGCGGGAGCATGTTTGGGAGCACGTACGACTCTCCACATGGGGAACACGAGCCATGTCAAACATGGCCACGCACCTGAGGCACGGCGTTTCAGGGCGTGCCGAGAGTCTGGGGACGAGAGGCAAACTGCACAAGAGGGCGCGGCGGAGGCGGGCAGCGCGACTGGCACAGAGCGAGTAATAAGAATCGCAGGCCCGTGTTTGAGGATGCAGAGAGGCCGGATGAGGCTTACTGGGCATGCAGCGTCGAGGAGGTGCATATTGTGAGACGAGGATGGCTTGGGCCCCCCTGCGACGTGGCTCGTGCGAATAAGCGGGATGTTGGCGGTGAGAGGGCCGTTTAGCGCAACCAGAGAAAGTCGACAGGCCCGCTGGCAGGTGTTCGCATAACCCCGACCACACCCATTGCGTTTCTCTCCTCTGGGCGATGCCGCCAACTGTGTAACCTGCGCTGTGCTGACGACGACGACGACGACGACGACGAAGACGAAGAAGACGACGACGACGACGACGACGACGCCCGGCGAGAGAGCACGCCGCCCACGACACACGCCAGCGGCCGCAGCCCAGCGAGCGGAGCATACAGCAAACCTCCCCCCTCCCCTCCTCACCCTCCTCCGCCCCCGACGCGGCTCCCTGATCCCGCACCGCCTTTTGCACTTGGGGCGACACCACCGCACGCAGCCACGCCCGCCCGCCCCAGGCACCGCCCGCACACCATGGCTCACATCTACGACATCGGCACCCGCGCGTGGCAGCCCGACACCACCGAGGGCTGGGTTGCCTCTGAAGTGACGGACAAGCAGATTGCGGGGGACAAGGTGAAGCTGGTCTTTAAGCTGGAAAATGGCGAGGTACGCTGCACCACCACCACCACTACTACTACTACTACTGCCACCGGCCATGCCCCGCGGATAGAGAGCGGGGGAGACACAGACTGCAGAGAGAAAAAGACAAAGATGATGCTGACCATGTCCTGTGCAGACCAAGTCGGTCGAGACGACGCTGGATGCCATCCAGACGGGCAACGATGCCAACCTGCCGCCCCTGATGAACCCCGCCATGCTCGAGGCCAGCGACGACCTCACCAACCTGTCCCATCTCAACGAGCCCGCTGGTACGGCCTGCTCCTCTCTGCACACCGCCACCGCCCCCTTCCGAATACTGACCGCGATGCAGTCCTCCAGGCCATCAAGCTCCGCTACCTGCAAAAGGAGATTTACACATATTCCGGCATCGTCCTGATTGCCACAAATCCCTTTGCCCGCGTCGACTCGCTATACGTCCCCGGCATGGTCCAGGTCTATGCCGGCAAGCAGAGATCCTATGGCGCCCCGCATCTGTTCGCCATTGCTGAAGAGGCTTTTGCGTAAGACTCCCCTCTCCTCTCCCTCCTGCCAGCGACTAACAGCGCCCAGCGACATGTTGCGAGACCAGAAGAACCAGACCATTGTCGTGTCTGGAGAGTCTGGAGCCGGAAAGACGGTCAGCGCCAAATACATTATGCGATACTTTGCCACACGAGAGTCACCCGACAATCCGGGCAAGCGGAGAGGCAAGTCCGACTCGATGAGTGAGACGGAAGAGCAGATTCTGGCTACCAATCCCATCATGGAGGCCTTTGGTAACGCCAAGACGACGCGAAACGACAACTCGTCGCGTTTTGGTAAATACATTGAGATCATGTTCAACAAGCAGACGGACATTATCGGTGCAAAGATTCGGACATATCTGCTTGAGCGCTCAAGATTGGTGTTCCAGCCGCTTAAGGAGCGCAACTACCACATCTTCTACCAGCTCGTTTTCGGTGCCACCGACGAGGAGCGCGAGGAGCTCTCGCTGAAGTCGGTCGAGGAGTTCAACTACCTCAACCAGGGTAGTGCGCCCGTCATTGACGGCATGGACGACGTGGCCGAGTTCAAGGCAACCAAGCAGTCGTTGACAAAGATTGGCGTTCCAGAAGAGACACAGGCCGGCATCTGGCGGCTGCTTGCGGCCCTCTTGCACATGGGAGATGTCAAGATCACCGCAACACGGACAGACTCGAACCTCGCGCCAGATGAGCCGTCGCTCGTCAAGGCTTGCTCACTGCTCGGCATTGACGCAAACACGTTTGCCAAGTGGATTGTAAAGAAGCAGCTCATTACCAGAGGAGAAAAGATTGTCTCCAACCTGACACAACAACAAGCTATCGTGGTCCGAGATTCCGTCGCCAAGTTCATCTACTCGAGTTTGTTCGACTGGCTAGTTGAGCGAACCAACGAGAGTCTTGCCACCCAAGAGGTCATCGCTTCTGCGCACACCTTTATTGGTGTTCTGGATATTTATGGTTTCGAGCATTTCGCAAAGAACTCTTTTGAGCAGTTCTGTATCAACTATGCCAACGAGAAGCTGCAGCAAGAGTTCAATGCACACGTCTTCAAGCTAGAGCAGGAAGAGTACATGCGCGAACAGATTGACTGGACATTCATTGACTTCGCCGACAACCAGCCATGTATTGACCTGATTGAGGGCAAGCTCGGTATCCTGTCGCTCTTGGACGAAGAGTCTAGGCTGCCCATGGGTTCCGACGAGCAGTTTGTCACCAAGCTCCACCACAACTACTCGGGAGACAAGCACAAATTTTACAAGAAGCCTCGATTCGGAAAGTCGGCCTTTACCGTCTGCCACTATGCCGTCGATGTCACGTATGAGTCTGACGGCTTCATTGAGAAGAACAGAGATACCGTGCCCGACGAGCACATGGAGGTGCTCAAGGCCTCGAGCAACAAGTTCTTGACTGAGGTCTTGGAGACAGCCGCACAGATCCGCGAAAAGGAGACGGCGAGCACCACCACTACCAAGCCAGGTGCCGCAGTGTCCGCTGGACGCAGGGTGGCTACCAACCGCAAGCCTACGCTTGGTGGCATCTTCAAGTCTTCGCTCATCGAGCTCATGCAAACCATCAACTCGACCGATGTACACTACATCCGTTGTATCAAGCCCAATGAGGCCAAGGCCGCCTGGCAGTTTGACGGACCCATGGTCCTGAGTCAGTTGCGAGCTTGTGGTGTCCTCGAAACCGTCCGCATCAGTTGTGCTGGTTACCCTACACGATGGACGTATGAAGAATTCGCCCTGCGTTACTACATGTTGGTCAGGTCTGCTGACTGGACACCGGAAATCCGCAACATGGCCACAGCCATTCTGAAGAAGGCTCTGGGTACTGGCAAGAACGATGGTACCGACAAGTACCAGATGGGTCTGACCAAGATCTTCTTCCGCGCCGGTATGCTTGCGTTCCTTGAGAACCTGCGTACTGCCAGGCTCAACGATGCGGCTGTTATGATCCAGAAGAACCTCCGTGCCAAGTACTACCGCCGCATCTACCTCGAGATGCGCGAGGCCGTAATTTCAGTACAGTCGTTGGCTAGGGGCTACATGACCAGGGAACGTACCGAAGAGGCGAGACAGGTCAGGGCTGCGACAACCATCCAAAGAGTGTGGCGCGGCAGCAAGGACCGCAAGCGCTTCCTCGTTGTCAGGAACTCGGTCATCAAGTTTGAGGCTGCCGCCAAGGGTTACCTTCTCCGCAAGAACCTCATGGATAAGAGGCTTGGCGATGCTGCTCGCATGATCCAGCGCAACTGGCGTAAACAACGCTACATCCGCGAGTACAAGAAGAAGATCAAGCAAATCATTACCGTCCAGAAGCTCTGGCGAGGACGAAAGGCCCGCAGGGAGTACAAGGTCTTGCGTGCCGAGTCTCGCGATCTCAAGAACATTTCCTACAAGCTGGAAAACAAGGTCGTCGAGCTTACCCAGAACCTGGGCACGATGCGCGAACAGAACAAGTCGCTCAAGTCACAAGTCGAAAACTACGAGAGCCAGATCAAGTCGTACAAGGAGCGCAGCCGCACTCTGGAGAACCGCCAGAAGGAACTCCAGGCCGAGGCCAACCAGGCTGGTATTACCGCCGCCAAGCTCAGCCAGATGGAGGACGAGTACAAGAAGCTACAGATCAGCTACGAGGAGAGCACTGCCAAAATGCGACACTTGCAAGAAGAGGAGAAGGAGCTCCGTGCATCGCTTAAGAGGACTACCGAGGACCTTGAGCTGTCCAAGAGGAGGAGCAATGTCACCGAGACGGAGAAGATGTCGCTCCGCCAGCAGCTTGCGGAGCTGCAGGAGCAGGTCGAGTTGATGAAGCGCTCTGGCCCGCTTACCTCGGACATCACCAACGGACACGCTCCCAGCATCGCGCCCAGCAGCTTGATCAAGCTTGTCTCGTCCAAGAAGCCCAAGAGGCGCAGTGCCGGACCCGATACGCGCGACATCAACCGCTTCAGCGAACAGTACAACCCTCGCCCAGTCTCCATGGCTCCTGGCTCTACCATCCACAGGCAGAACCTCTCGGGCTCAACGTTTGCTCAGCTTGACAATGTTGAGCTTGAGCTTGAGAACATTCTTGCCGAGGAGGACATGCTGAACGACGAGGTCACTCTTGGCTTGATCAAGAACCTCAAGATCCCCTCGCCTACCACGACGCCTCCTCCTACAGACAAGGAAGTGCTCTTCCCTGCCTACCTCATCAACCTTGTCACATCGGAGATGTGGAACAATGGCTTCGTCAAGGAGTCTGAGCGCTTCCTTGCCAACGTCATGCAGTCGATCCAGCAAGAGGTCATGCAGCACGATGCCGAGGATGCCATCAACCCAGGTGCCTTCTGGCTGTCCAACGTGCACGAGATGTTGTCGTTTGTCTTCCTCGCCGAAGACTGGTACGAGCAGCAAAAGACGGACAACTACGAGTACGACCGACTGCTCGAGATTGTCAAGCACGACTTGGAGAGTCTTGAGTTCAACATCTACCACACGTGGATGAAGGTGCTCAAGAAGAAGCTGCACAAGATGATCATTCCCGCCATCATTGAGTCGCAGTCTCTGCCCGGTTTCGTCACCAACGAGAGCAACCGTTTCCTCGGCAAGCTGCTCCAGGGCAGCAACACCCCTGCCTACAGCATGGACAACCTCCTCACTCTGCTCAACAGCGTGTACAAGGCCATGAAGGCATACTACCTGGAGGACTCCATCATCACACAGTGCGTCACCGAGCTGCTGAGGTTAGTCGGCGTCACTGCCTTCAACGACCTGCTCATGCGCCGCAACTTCCTTTCGTGGAAGCGTGGTCTCCAGATCAACTACAACATCACTCGTATCGAAGAGTGGTGCAAGTCTCATGACATGCCAGAGGGTACTCTGCAGCTCGAGCATCTCATGCAAGCTACCAAGCTGCTCCAGCTCAAGAAGGCTACTTTGAACGACATTGAGATTATCCAAGATATTTGCTGGATGCTGAGCCCCAACCAAATCCAGAAGCTGCTGAACCAGTACCTGGTTGCTGATTACGAGCAGCCCATCAACGGCGAGATCATGAAGGCTGTTGCCTCTCGCGTGACGGAGAAGAGCGATGTCTTGCTGCTTACCGCAGTCGACATGGAGGACAGTGGCCCATACGAGATTGCGGAGCCAAGAGTAATCACTGCCCTTGAGACATACACGCCATCATGTAAGTTGCTTAACCTTGGCTGTTACAAAACACATCTAACGATTGACAGGGCTGCAAACACCCCGCTTGAAGCGCCTTGCTGAGATTGTCTCACAACAAGCCATTGCGCAGCAAGAAAAGCTCGAGTTTGACGATGACATGCCACCTGGCCAATCCAACGGCGATGCCATGCACGCCCTGACTGGCGGCATGGGCATGAACGGCGGAATGAACGGACACGCAACGATTGAGGAAGGCATTGAGGCATGAAGTTGAGAGCATTATCTTTGTGAGCGCAAATTTGGCATTTAGACATGACCCGAGACGACGAAAGCATTGAAAGAAAGCCAGCCGCCCTCTCTTTTTTTTCTTTATTGCCCCGTTTTTTTTCTTTTCTTTTTCTTTCTTTCTTTCTTCTGATCATTCTCCTCCAATGTTTTGTAGTTGTAACCTTGTTCCCCTCCTTCCTCGTCTCTGACTGTCTAGGCTGGGCCTTTTTTTGTTGGGCGAAAATGGGGGAGAGTTAGGAGAGAGAGAAAGTTAAGAGAGAGAGAGAGAAAGAGAGAGAAAGGGGGGGGCGATACGATACATACATATATACATGAACAGTTGTGGAGATTAAAAAGAGGAGGAGGAGGAGGAGGGAGGAAGAGGGAGTTTGGTAGTGGTAGTGTTGATGGCAGAATCGGTTGTGGTTGTTATGTCATGATGACGAAAGTTATTGTTTATTTTATTCTATTTCTTTTTAACATCTTCTTTCTCTTCTCCCCCCCTCCCCCCCATCTTAAGTACCTATCTACCTATCTAAACTCTCTTTTTGTTTTTAATTCCTTTATGTTTGGGGGCGTGTGGTTGGGCGTGTGGGTGGTGGTGGTGGTGGTGTTGTTGTTTTTATTTAATAGCAAATTTTACACTCTTGGGGTTTTTTTTTCAGTTTTTGTAATATGCTAGATTGTGTGTTTTGTTCTTGTTGTTCTTGTACTTGTTCTTGTTGCTGGTACTGGTACTGGTACTGGTGGTAGTAGTGTTGATGTTGTTTTTCATCACTTAGATGTCGTTGGTTCATGTTAGATCTTGCCTCTCCTCTCTCCTCTCTCTCTCTCCTCTGCCTCTCTTCTTTGTTCCCTGTCCTCTCCTCTTTGATCTTCCTTCTTCGCTTAAATCAACGACATATATACACATACACATACACGCTAAGTCACACGTACGTACGTACGTATGTATGTAAGTAAGTAGAAACTAGAACATACATCCACCCATGCTCTATCCTACCCACACACACGTTTTTCTTGTTCTTGTTCCCAAGCTTAACGCTGAGTGAGCATGTAAGCAGCTGAGTGGGTGCATAAAACAGTGCATAGAATTTACTTTGTCTGTGGATTTGTGCATATATGTGTGTATGTGTGTATGTATGTGTGTGTGTGTGTAGGGCGGTGAAGAATGGGTGAATGGAACAGATACAGTACAGCGAGGAACACATGTATACATTGCTAACAACAACAACAACAACAACAAAAAAGAAAGCTGTGAACATATTACGTAGGCAGATTTCCTGTACGAAATACTCATCTCATCTATCTGAATCAAATACATATTTCCAGTGAGAGGCTAACGGCGCGATGCAATAGGTGGTGGTGGTGGTGGTGGATGAATAGCTGTGCATGCAAGTAAACCGACCCTTGTCTCTCTTCTTCTTCTTCTTCTTCTTCTTTTTTTTTCTTCTTTTTTTTTCTTCGTCCTTTTCAGGCGCGAGAACACGCCACTCATTTCCATTTTAGACGTCAGATGCTGAGGATGGAGGATTCCGCCGAGATGCACGCAAATCAACGACACGTTTGTATGGGGCTGATGCGGTGTCCTCGCGGCTAATGTATGTGATCAGGGCGGGAAATAGTAATAGAGGGAATGCATACGGTGCGCGCAGAGAGTCTGTGTGTGGGAAGAGGTGGAAGAGGGGCGGCAGGTTGAGGGGCGTGGGGGAATACAAAGGGGTGGTTTTTTTCTCTCGTGGAGAATTAGACTGGTGTGGATTGATTGCATCGCAGCGTAGCGTTTACTTTCTACCGTCTATGATGCACCGTTCCGGAGAGGGATTTCAATCGTGTTGTGTCGGTGTGTGTGTTGGTGTGCATTGCGCTGTGTGTATGCAATGCAAGTATTCCTACATATCTTATCCGCACCAGAAGTAAGTACATACATACTTACTTAGCTACTTGTACACAGACTCTCGCGCACGGCAAACCGCATCAACCAACCAACCAACCAGACATTCAATCCAAACCCAACCCAACCCAACCCAATTACTTATAATCAACTCCCCCAATCTCAGTCTACCCAGAAAGAAAGTAAAAAAGTAAAAGCGCAAAATAAACAACCCACACCCAACAAATACTAATACAGCTACTTTACTGTAAATTACCCCCAGCCTAACTTCCATCCGTCCCATTCCCGCCCCTTTTTTTTTCTCTCTCCTTTTAATCTACCACAATTGCCGCGCATCCGCGCACCCGCGCGCATAAACTTACGTATGTCCCCACGCACACACACACACACACACACACACACACACACATACGGGGGGGAAACGCCGTCCGTCTCCCCCGTTCCCCCGACCCCTTCCACACACACATGCACACGCACAATCCCCGCTTATTTCCTTTCCTTTCCTTTTTTTTCTTTTTAAAAACCCACCTTCTTGGGTTTAAAAGTGATTGATGACAAGCGAAAACACATGGCCAAGTGTATACGTGCGTGTGATGTGTGTGTGTGTGTTGTGGTCGCGTCGCGTCGGACTGTCGGCTTAGTCTTACTTAGGCTTGGAAGGGGGGAAGGGGGAGGGGGGGATGCTGGCAGTTTTTTTCTTTCTGCTGACGTTGGCCCCAGGTTGGCCTTTTATATATTTAATTATTATTTTTTCTCTTTTGTGGAAGGGACCCTTTTTTCTTCACTCATCTCTAATTATTATCATCGTCCGCCCTCCTTTTTTTTTGGTGGGTTGGTGATTATACATTTTAGGTTGCTGCTTGTTTATTGTTGTTGTTGGTGGTGGTGGTGGTGGTGGTGTGTTCTTTGTTCGTTGATTTGGTTTACTTGCATACATACATACGTATCATCTGCCCCGGTCGATTGAGTAAGTACCTAGGCTTGCTATCGCTTCCGCCTTTTCCACACACACACACACACTCTCTCTCTCTCTCTCTCTTTGGGGAGGGGTGTTTGCGGAACACGCCGGACGCTGGGGTGTGCGCCCTGCGTGAGTGAGAGGGAAGAGAGATAAAGGGGAAGAGAAAATAGAAGGGGGAGAAGCAAAGAAAAAGAAACGTGAGAGAGAGATAGGCGATTGCGGGGATTCATCTCGTCTGTTCACTTTTTTTTGGTCGCTTTTGGTCTTCGCTAAGTACCACTTGCTTGCTTGCTGCTGCTGCTGCTACTACTACTACTTACTCCCCCGTCTTGTTTCTGTACTCGCGTCGTCGACTTACTCAGGTCGCGGCCGAAACAAAAAACGCCTACCAGTCACAGGATCCGGATTCGCGATACGACACGACACGATACGACAGACCAAGGCCCAATGCACCTGTGCACGTTTCCATAGAGCTTCGGGACCCGCAACGGCAACGTAACGCGCACCACGCGACCGCGGCTACGCATCCTTTGCCGCACGCAGCCCTTTTCTCACATATTACTTACTCTCCTTTTTTTGCTTCTTCTTCTTCTTCTGCTTTCCTTGACCAAAGGTCAGGAATTTACTGGATACGGTGAAGAGAAAGAGAAGATGCCATCTGTTACGCAATGGCAGGGCACACCGTCAGTCAAGGGCTCGACTGACGGCATACGTATGGGGTTGCTGACGGCATCCCTCATCGGGGTCCAGTATGCCTCTCTCTCTGAGTGTATCCCCAAGGAGAAACCGACGCTAACAGCAATACGCATATAGATTCACATGGAACGTAGAAATGACGTATTGCACGCCGTACCTCCTCGAACTCGGCCTCACAAAGTCGCAAATCTCGCTCGTATGGGTCGCAGGCCCCTTGTCTGGCCTCATCATGCAGCCCATTGTCGGCGTCATCGCCGATCGATCTACCTCGCGCTGGGGCCGCCGCCGCCCGTTTATGTTTTTCGGGACAATACTGGTGGCCATGTTCTTGCTGTTGCTGGGGCGGACAAAAGAGGTGGTGCGGTACTTTGTTGCCGACGAGGCGGCGGCCAAGAGCGCAACCATATACCTGGCCGTGTTCAGTATATACGGCATAGACTTTGCTATCAATGCGGTGCAGGGGAGTTGCAGAGGCCTGGTGGTGGATACACTGCCAATGGAGAAGCAGCAGATGGGCGGTAGTTGGGCGAGTAGGATGGTCGCAGTGGGTAACTTGTGTGGGTATGCGGCGGGGGCGGTCGACTTGAGGAGTATATTTGGTCTCGGGCTGGGCGATACGCAGTTCAAGCAGCTGACCAGTGTCGCCGCGTTGATGCTTTGTCTTGCCGTCGGAACAACCAGCTGGGCGGTTACGGAGAGAGTGCTGATCAGCGATGGGTCGGCTGAGGGCCAGGGCTTGAATATCAAGCAGGTGCTCGGTACCATTGCGCATACTGCGCTGAACCTGCCAGGCCGTATACAGGCCATTTGCACGGTGCAATTCTGGGCGTGGATTGGTACGTTGTATTGCATCGAATTCTGTCCAGCAGAAGCTAACCGTCGGCCAGGGTGGTTTTTCTTCATGTTCTACTCGTCCACGTTTTTAAGTGAGACGTATCTGAGATACGACGCACCGCCCAGCGTCAAGGCAGGCGGCGACCTGACGGGCAAGATGGGGCGCATTGGGTCCATGGCTCTCATTTCCTTTTCTATCATCACCTTCGTAATGTCTGTCCTGCTGCCCTTCTTTGTCAGAAGCCCAGAGGAAGATGAAAAGGACCCTGGCTTCTCGCGTCCACCAGCCGGCAAGTCGGGCGGAAGTGGATGGGCAAAGTATAAACCAAGTCTGCTAACAGCGTGGATGACTGCACACTGCATCTTTGCGGGCAATATGATGATGGCGCCTTTTGTGAGGAGTCTGAGGTCCGCGACTATCATGATTGCTTCGTGTGGGGTGTAAGCAAACCACCCCTTCCCTTGCCATGGTGCAATGACTGTGAGCTAACGTAACCAAGTTCGTGGGCCGTGGCTTCGTGGGCGCCGTTTGCACTTCTTGGTGTAGAAATCAACCGACTGAACAGGGCGACTTCGCACTCGACGCACCCAAAGCGCGCTTCGCTCGATCTCGACAACATGGAAAAGGCAAAGGCTGGCAGTGGATCCAGCGGAGGAGCCAGCTCAGGCCAATACCTGGGCATCATGAACCTATTTACCACACTCCCGCAGTTTGTGGCGACGGGCATATCATTCGTCATCTTCTCCATCTTGGAGCCTGGCAAGACTGCCGAATTGGGCCAAGGGCCGCCCGCAACGCATCCCAGCACGGATGGGCCCAATGCAATTGCTGTTTGCTGGTTTATAGGCGCATGGACGGCATGTATTGCTGCATTAGCTACGCGGAGACTGAGATTGTAAAGGCGTGGTGGGTCAGGAAATGATAATTTGATTCTCTTGTGCAAGTACCGGCATGCAGCTTGACTGCCGCGCGCACTCAGGAGCGGTGAATCTCAGCAGCATGTGCATTGGGTGGCTGGTGGGGGGGGGGGACTCGCAGGTACCTTGATATGTGGTGTAGGGTGTCGGGATCGGCCATGGTGTGAATCGGCGGGCTATCCGATCTACACTCGAGACGAGAGCCCCGCGGCTAGTACGACAGGCAAAGGCAAATGGGTGCTGACAGCAGCGGCATGCTCACCGTGGCAGCAGCACTTGGCGGCATTGGGCCTAGGGTGCGAGATTTTGCTAAAGTTTTCTGGTGACCCGCTTTGTTCTAGAAGGGTAAAAGGTGGCTCGTGGTGGTACGCTGGCGGGCAGCGGGAGCGTAGAGGGTCTTGTACCGATTGAATCAACCGTGGTGAACTGGCTATGATGATGATGCTGGTTATGGTGATTATTATGCTGATTATGATGACGATGGCGATGCCGGCAATGGTGGTGTTAGCAGCTGCAGGCGCAGTGATGATGGCGCCGTGGATGAAGCACGGCGGGCAGGTTGTGCGGTGGGTGCAGGAATATTTTGAGCTCCAGGTGTACCGGAGCGGCGAGAAAAAAAAAGACCCAGCAGCCAATGGCTGGAGACGATGGCCAGCGAGCTGGATGGCAGCTCCCCGTCGCGGCGGGCAAGGTCGGCCATGGCTCGAGGGGTGGAGGGGTGGATGGGCGGATGGGTGGATGAGTCGCTGCGTATGCGCGAGGGTGGTGGTTCATTGTTCAATGGCCACACGTGCCGTGCCACGCCAGCGAGGGTGAAAAGACGGTCAGCGTACAAATAACAAAGAGACGGCGGCCGGCACATTTGCTGCGCGCGACCAGCTCCCGCCCGCCCGAATTTGCAGCAGCAGCAGCAGCAGTGCAGAGTCTCCTTGACAGCCCGTCGCCCGCGCCTCTCGTCCGCCTGCCCGGCTCCTGCTCCAGCAACAGCCAAAGCCGCCCAAGCCCCAAGCCCCAAGCCCCAAGCACGCTAGTCGTAAGCGGCTGTCGTCGACTCAACCCGCCGAATTTCCACCCAGACCTCAACACCCTCGCCCGCCACCTTGCCCTTCGCCGCACTCATTCGCCAAGATGTCTGAGCCGATCCGCAATAACAACGCGTGTCTGCTTGGTGTCTGCAAAAATTTTGTGTTAGCAGGCCATTGTGCGGTGGCAAGCAAAGAAAACTCACTCTTGTTCCTCTGCTTCTTGCTCTCCACGCGGACAGTCAGGTCCTTGCCGGCCTTCCAGTCAATCTTGTCGCCCTCGGCGTGGTCGTAGATGAAGTCGCCACCGTAGCCGTTCTCCTCCTGGTAGTAGTACGTCTTGGTGATGGTCTTGTTGGTGAAGAACTCGTTCTCCTCGAATTCGAAGATGAGGCGGAAGCCCGGGCGGTCGAGGTACTCCATGCGGATGTCGGTCAGGTGCTGCAGCGCAGCCTCGTCGCGGTCTGTGATCATCTCGGCGAGCGAGATCTGGTTCTTCATGGCGCTCAGCCAGAACTCGGGAATGCCCTTGACGTCCTTGCCCTCGTCCTTGTTGAGCTCCGCCTCGGGCTGGTCCTCGTCGTCGTCATCCTCGTCCTGCTGCTCGCCAATCTTGACCTGCTCTTCTGAGGGCTCCTCGGCGCCGTTGACAATCTTCTGGCGCATCTCGTACAGCGGTGTGAACTTGGCAAAGTACTTCTTCTCGAGCTGCAGCACCTCCTCCTGGAACTCAGCCTCGAGCTTGGAGTGCTCCTTCTGGACGCCCTTGAGGCCGGCCACGCGGCGGCGGACCGAGGCCGGCAGCGACTCAATGTAGCCGCTCGAGCGGCCGACGAGCGAGCCCAGCTTGTTCTGCATCATGGCGACGAGGGCGGGGTTGGCAGCAAACAGGCCGGCGGCAGTGCGCTCCATGTCCTCTGCAGCGAAAAAAACGACGGATTAGCGGTCAAGGCGTGCGACACACAGCGAGGCAGGGCGGGGTTGGAGGGGCAGGAGCAGCAACACCAAACAGGCACAAACAGGGTTTTTCTACCCTCTCTCGCAGCCACGTACCTTCTTTGATGGTGCCGACGCCGGGCTGCTGGGCGCGCGACGATATCGGGGCGGCGTTTGCAGGCGTGTTTTGGGGGGTGCTGGTCGGGCGGACGTTAGACTGCAGTACATCCATGGTGCGGGTGCGTGTTGGGATTGTGTTTTTTTGGAGGGGGGGGGGGAGGGGAGGGGAGCATCCAAAATTTGCATCTGTGGGCTTGGTGGCAGCGACGAGAGTACTTACGGGGCGGATACGGCATCCATCTTCTTAAGAAGACGGTGCCTACAGAGTCGTTCTTCAACTTCTTCGACCCACCCAAGCCCCCGCAGGACGACGATGACGCCACCTCGGACATTGAGGAGCGTCTCGAGCTCGACTACCAGCTCGGCGAGGACATCAAGGAGAAGCTCATTCCCCGTGCTATTGACTGGTTCACCGGCGAAGCCCTCCAGTACGAGAACATTGAGGACTTTGACGAGGGCGAGTTTGAGGACGAGGACGACGAGGATGAGGACGAGCTCAGCGATGACCGCGAGGAGGAAGAGGAGTCTGACGACGAGGTAAGCTTCGGAGACAGCCACTGTTTTTTTTCTTGCTACACACGGCTAACACGCTCACAGAACGACGGCACAAAACCCAAGCAGGAGGCTGCTGAGTGCAAGCAGAGCTAAATGCACTTGGTCTGGATCATCACTCACATTACAACGAGTAATCATCCTCTCCGAGCAATTCTGAGCGGAATGTTCATGTTGGGCTGCTACAGCGTGGGTCCATACTGATCTCAGCTTGCCACGACGTTTCCACGAATCTCTATATCCGACACCTTTTTTTTCCATGACTTCTTACCTGGCGTAATACTTGCATCAAGAAAGCGCAGGGGCAATGGTTGAATGGGGATACCACGAACTAGCCATGTCACGAACTATGTCAGACCTCCCGTCTTTTTTACACATTCCCCTCCAACAGGTTCATGGCCCACAACCAACGATCGCTTAGCATAAACGGCGTTGTCTAGGTGGGGGGTTCAGCTGCATGTATTTTCCTTGGGCTTGTAGGGTGTTTGATGTTTCACCATGGCTGTAGAATGGCGTAATTAGTCTGGAGGGTGTGTCATGTGTAAATGAAAGAAAAGTTTGGAGCCCCATAGTCGGACCGTGTGCGCAAGCAAATGCCGGGTTTGTGGCGTTGGCGTATCCGAGTGAATGTCGGCAAAAGATAAAGGATACGAATGCCGTCGGTCGCTGTCTCGGAAGATGGGGTTATCGGATAAGCGTGGGATATTCAACAAGTCTAAGGACCCTGCTTGTTTCTGTTGGACCGCTAGCTGCAGGCACACTGGGACTTGAGCTTACATGTGCATGCGTCTGCGTGCTTCTGCTTCTGCTTCTTGGGACCTGAGCCCATCATGGTTGGTGGCGCGGGGTAGTGGTGGGGCGCTCAGCAGCCGGGAGAAGTTCGGCAGGAGTTTTTGGGAAAAATAATTCTGGATGCGACGAGCCTGCTCACATAGCAACAACTTGACGCCGCCACAATACGTTATTCTACCTGGATTCCTACCGTTTACTATCTGTGGAGTCACTTGGAAAGTTACAGCAAAAAAAAACAGGCCTAAAATTCAAAGTAACAGCTACATATCAGCCAAACCCTAAAAAAAACCATGGCGCGAAAAAGCCCAAATATCGTTATTACAGGCACACCCGGTGTAGGAAAGACGACGCATGCAGAGCAATTAGCGCAAGCGACAGGCCTAAAGCACCTATCTGTAAACGCGATTGTGAAAGACGAGGGGTTCCACGAGGGCAAAGACGAGGAGACAGGAAGTTGGATTGTAGACGAAGACAAGGTACGTAACATTGCAAAAGCTAGCCTACCTTTATTTCGTTTGTACTTAGTTCTAACGCTGTATTTAACTATTTCTAGCTCCTCGACTACCTCGAAGCGCTCCCACTGCACAGCACCGGCGGCTACATCCTCGACTGGCACGCATGCGACCTGTTCCCCGAGCGCTGGATCGACCTCGTCATTGTGCTGCGCTGCGACTCGTCGGTGCTGTACGACCGGCTGACGGCGCGCGGCTACAAGGGCAAGAAGCTCGAGGAAAACATGGACAGCGAGATTATGCAGGTGTTGCTGGATGAGGCGCGCGAGAGCTACAAGGAGGAAATCGTGATTGAGTTGAGGAGTGATAGGACGGGCGATGTAGAGGCGAATTTGGAGCGCTGTGAGAGGTGGGTGGAGCAGTGGAAGAAGGATAGGGAGGGAGAGGGCGACGAGGAGGATGAGTAGGCAATGTGTGCAGGGGGTTTTGCGGGGGGAAAGAGTACCTCTATGAGGACTATGTATGATACCAATGTAATGAAGTTATGAGATTCAATCATCTTTTGCTTTCTTTGCTCTATGTCTCTGGGGTATGTATTTTCGCGTCTTTTGGAACGGATTGCTAGTCCTTCTACGATGATTCCACCTTGCTGGCCAGCCACTCCTTGAGTTTCTCCAGAGCCTTTGCCCGATGGCTGATTTTGTTCTTCTCGCTCTTGTCCATCTCGGCATACGTCTGACCTTGATATTCGAAGCATGAATCCCAGCCTGGAAATTGGAATTGTTAGTATCCGCTATTTTGTAATTCTACACACGAAAACATAGTGCACCAGAGATGCATTTCCAGAGTGATGGCATGGAATCCAAGACTCTGCGCTGGCAAGGAGAGATTAAATCCAACTTACCGAAAACAGTAGACCCCCGACTCTCCACTAGCTTTCCGTCGGTGCGTCCTTGGAAGAGAATCGCCTCGTGGCCGGGGCCCTCGCAGTACCCGAATGTGCAGACTGCCTGGGCCGACTTGTCGTCGAAGCCCGCAAGGAGCTTGTGCATGTTGGGTGCGCCGAGGGACTGCATGAACCATTTGCTAAGGAAAAGCAGGGTGTGTTAGGGAGCGATGTAAGAGCAGGGAGGGAGAGAGGGAAACATACATGTATGGGCCTGGGAGGTCGTTCATGGCTTTGAAGCAGAGACATGTGTCTTCGACGAGGACGGGGCCTTGGACCTGTGCGTGATATTAGTGTGTAGTAGAATCAATGTAACAGTGCTTTCAACACATCTTTTCTCCCTCCTTCTCTTTCTCAAACACACTCTACGTCTTCTCCCATCTTGACCATATTGCCTTCCAATCCTAAAAAAAAGGCGATATGAAAAATAACAGCTCAACTTACAGCTTCGGCAGCTCTTCGCGCCTTGTCTTTGGTGACCTCTTCGACGGTGCCTTGGATCTCGACCAGGTCCACATTCTGACTTCGTAGCTCAATGACGCCGGCGAGAATGGCTTGGACTTCGGCAAGCTTGTTCTTGTTGCCCGTTATGAAGTTGAGGTGTGCAGGGACTGAGGGTGAAGCCATTTTGAATTTTTTTCTTCCACCTTTTCAATTGGACAGTATCTCTTTTTTCCTTATCGACAGGGTCACTTGGAGCAAGCTTTTTTCACTGTGCGGGATGTGAGCAGCTGTCATTGAAAGTCGCAATTTTACACATTGATATATACCTACCAAAACTCTTTTATTCCGCTGATTATGGAGCAGCGTCTTGACAATTGCGATATGACTGTAAAAGGCGGAATTAGCAAAAAAGTACCCACATGCAAAGGGCGCAGTCGATTGTAGGGCTGAACAACGGGCAACATTAGCCTGGCCTTGGCAAGAGGCGCAGTCGTCCAAAATGCACTACAACATGTCTGCCATGCAGGTACGTACAAATTAAGAGCAGCGCTTCTCTCACTACGGTCAGGATGCAAATTCGGGCCTGCAAAGATGGCGGTGATAGGGCTGAGGGGTCCTATGTTTAGCTTCTTACCTGCTGTAAGCGAGCTGAGCAGGGATGCAACGGTTGGCGGTGCCTCCAATGCTACCGTGACCTACAAACCATCCCTCTCAGCCGCATCAATCACACCTGCCAAGTACCTGCATAACGGCTCTCGCCGTCACAAACACCTGCTTTGCAGCCTCGACGCACGTATAATCGCCGAAGCAAAGAGCCTCATGGCTTGGAGCTGAGCTGTGCCGTCATTCGATCCCTCCGGCTTCCCTCACGACACCGACAAACCGTCTGCAGCTGATCCCCACGACCGCCTTCGCAAGGCGGGGCATTTTCCATTTTCCATTCCTCCTCGCCGAAGACGACGCGGGACACTGACGCCTCGTCACCGCCAAAATGGCTTCCCTCAGGACTCTGTTCCTGGCGGTGCACGCCTCCAACAGCATAATAAGGGCGTTGTTTCTGCCACTATGCTACCTCACACTCTTCAGTCCCTTTACACTTGCCATCGCCTGGTACTTTGGCTTCTTGCACACGCTCGAATCACTCATACCTGAAGACTTTTCCTGGTTCGATCTTCTGCCGCAATTTGCAATCTCAGCCGTTTTCGTCCTGCTGCCAACAAGGTTTTTTTCGGCTCCAAGTAAAACAGTCACGAGCAAAGATGGGAAGAGACGGGTACAACCGCTGCCATACTGGATCCCAGGGTTCAGGAACTTCTGGAGTATTGCGTTCGGTGGTGAGGAGTGGTTAAGGGGAGTCAGGTGAGTTTGGGGGAGTTTTTTTTTTACTATAGAACATCAGTCTGATGGTTACCAGAGAGACTTCCACAACAAGTCTGATTGCGTACAAGGCAGTAGGATCCAAGCACAATATCCTGCTATCAGACTCTCTGCTCAGCCAAATGTACAAGAACTGGAAGAACCTGGAGGCGCCCGACAACAACCTACCTGCTATCCTTCAAAATGCATTCAAGATGCCATCGGAAATGAAGAGCCACTATCTCGAACTCATACCGGAAATCACCAAGGTCGTTGAAACGGACATATACGGCGGTTCGACTAAGGAGACTCTTGTCCAAACATCGCTGCGCATCATATCTGAGTCTCTTCCGGACTTCATCACTTTCAACACATCCATTGTCGACCAGATGCAATGGGAACGCGTCTCGAACTTGGAACTCACAGATGGTACATCAGAGGTCGAGTGCGATTTGTTTACGCTTATCAACGAGTTCTGTTGCAACGCCATTCTACCACCAATCGTCGGCACTCAGTTCACCGAATCCTATCAACTGCTTCCTACCGACTTGGCTTCTTTGAACGAACGGTTTTGGGCGCTTGCTCTCGGACTGCCGCGGTTGTCACCTATAAAGGGCTTGCCGACGTCGGCTCTGGCTCAAAAGCGATTGATACGAAATTTTGCAAAGCACTTTGGAGACTTGACGAATCCACCGGTGAAGAGGGTACCGGCTGATGATGAGAGTGTGAGCGGCGATGAAGACACAGATGCCGATACAGTTACGCCTTTGATGAAACTGAATGAACTGTTCTCCAAGCATGAGCTACCAATGGAACTGAGAGCCTCAATCGCCCTCCACCTTGTACATGATGTTGTTTCCGAAGTCGTGCCGCTTGTATTTTGGACGCTGTTGCATATATACTCATCAACTGCACAAGAGTCGCCGCTTCAGAAGGTCAAGGAAGAAACCAAGACGTGGGCTCAGGCTTATCAACCACCGTCAATACATCCGTCGTTCCCGGCACCACCAGAGATACGCTTTGGGCCAGCCACTGCGGTTCTCACAGCGACATTCCTACCTTACCTTCGCTCATGTGTCAACGAGGCTCGACGTTTGTATAGCTGCTCCGCCAGCACATACAAGATAAAGCATCCGATAACCTTGGCTGAGGAAGACATCACACGGCCTGGAAAAGAAGAGCAATGGGTCTTGGAAGCAGGATCGTACATTGACATTGGCCTGTCTCAAGCTATGATCAATTCCTCGGCGGCATCGCATCCCGCTCCAGACACATACAAAGCCGACCGCTTCACGACCACACGGGTACCATCGTCCGTCGTGGCGCCAAACGATGTTTCAGAATCGTACAAGACGGCACTTCTCATACCTCTTATTGCAGGCATCACGCAGCTATGGGAAATCACGCCGGCACCCCAGAAAACCTTCCTGGAGCAGATGCAAGAAGCAGGGAATGAAGCGTCAATTGGCGCCGCAGCGCTGACCGGCGAGGAAAAAGCCGCCAGGCAAGAAGCCAACCGGGCGCGAGACAATGCGAAGAGAAAAGACGCGAAATGGGCACTCCCAACACCCATGGACGCAGCAAGCATCAAGGTCCCAAGACAAGATGTCCGTGTAAGGATCCGTAGACGGGAGGGCTTACCTAAAACCACGGTAGTTGGGCGAATTGGCTAGTGAACGGTTCTGGGGGCTGAGCAAGAGCAGAGAGAAGCGCGGATGACTGTTATGGTTTTTTGGGTTCTGCATCTAGGAACATCCTTGTCCATGGGAATGTGTATTTTTTTCTTCTGTATGACAAATTCGAGACGCATTGTTCTAGACGTGGGCGTGAGACTGAGATAGCGAGGCTCGGTAAGAAGCCAAACATGCAGCATGCATAGCGATTCCGACCGCGTCGTCGGTCTTCGGACCGTTTTCCTTGCACACGATGAGTTTCGCCATCATCGACGATGAATGATGGCTGCGACTAAGTAATTGCCCGGCTGCACGCGTGCGCCCCCCCCGTAAACCGCGCGGAGTAATGTACCCCATGGTCTCAACGAAAATCAATAAACTCTTTTTTCCGTTGGCTGCGGGCCTTGGGGTTACAGAGTTACATGGTCCCTGTTTATCGCGATGCGCAAGGGCCGTCGACGTCGACGTCGTCGTCGTCGGTGGTTGTGGTAGTAACTAACAGACAGGGCTATCATTGCATATCCGCTACGTGCCGCATAGCCTCCCCCCCCTTCGTCCGTCAAACACACCAGTTGTCGCATCTACACTACCATGTCAGATGGACTGTAGGAAACCAAACCAGGTTTTTGATCGGCAAAACAACCAAAAGGATCCCATGGGGGAGGGGGAATATGTCAAGTGCCGTCAACGAAACCGGCACTTTGGTCCCGATCCCGCGCCATCCATGTTTTTTTTCCTTTTTTTTCCCTTGCACTTTTTCTTTTATTTTTGCTGATTGGTTTGGTTTGGTTTCGCTGGTTGCCTGGGGATTTCTCTTCATCATTTCATCTCATATCATGGAGTGATTTGAGTAAGTATCATGTGTGTAGACTAGCACTAGTAAACTGGATGGATGGATCGGGGGCATACCTGGTTGTACAGGCTCCACCCCTACATACTCGCAAGCCAGGACAAAGTACACCTAAGCGAGATCACAGAGAGATAGAGAGAGAAGGATGGAGAGATAGACATGCATGCATGAATAGCGAGGAAAAAAAAACGCATGCACACATCCCAAGCATCCACCTCCACCCACGTAACCCAGGTGAGCAAAACAAACAAAGTTTTTACCACATACGTACTTACGCAAGTACGTACATTATGCAACGCAACTCGAGCATCGATCGGAGCCACTAAGCAGAAACCTGACGTCGGAAGCCCATCATCGCACCGTCAAAGTAGCGGTGAGAATGCTGGGGGAGGGCGGGGAGGAAAACACACCACACACCACACCACACCATACACACATACTACATGCACACACACGTACACGTGCGGCGCGGCGGCGCGCCCGCTTCAAAGTAACTGTAACGAAGGAATGAGAGGGGGGTGTGGGAAGAGAGGGGAGGGGGAAGAGGGAAGACTTCCGCTATCATCCAAGTCGCTACCACCCCCCCTTCCCCCCTCCCAAACCAACATCTCTCTCCCTGACTCGAGCCAGACGCAACTTTGTCATCTCTTGTGCTTCTCCGCAACCCGATTTGGGGGCTGATAACAATCCCCGTGCCAGTGTGACCTGACCAGCAAATGAACAAACCAAACCGACCGACCGACAGAGACAACATGCCCCGTTTCCCCGCGTATCAGGGGGTGGGAACCCGCATCCGAAACAGGAAAGTCTTCTCTCTTTCTCACGCGCGCGCGCGGCAGAACAAGAGTTACGAGCGGGAAGAGAGAAAGAAAAAAAAACGGGGCTCACGTGAGCTAGGCGCTCAGACGCGCCGGTGAAGATGGAGAAAGACGAGAAAGACAAGAGAAATGGAAAGAGAAAGAGCAGAGAGAGCGGGAAAAAAGAGAGCTAACCAAGCCGGGTTTGGGTTTGGATTGGAAAGCTGATGGTGCGCGCGCGCCGCTCTTTGGCCCCGTTTGCCCCCCCCCCCCCCCCAAAAAATCCACACACCTGTTCTTTTTGTCTTGTTCCCCACCGCAACAAAAAGGTCTAGAAGCCCGGCGCTCGCCGTTGTCGAATGGGCGGGGCGGGGGGGACGCGGCGCTGTCTGTCACTTGTCAAGGCAGTTGTTCGTGTTGGTGCCGGTGCCGGTGCCAGTGTCTGTGTCTGTGTCTGTGTGTACTTGTACTTGTGTTTAAAAAAAAAAGTCATGGGTCAGATAAACGGTGAGAGAGAGCAAGACCAAGTGAGTAAGACCAAAAGAGAGGGAAAAGGGAGATAGCTTCGGGGCCGCATCAAGGTACGTGTTATGCTATGTATGCGTATTTCCATGGGCTGAGTGTAATCAAGTGCATACATTACTCCTGTAACATGTACATGTATGCAAATTGGCATTGGCATCCATCCATCGCTTCATCCACAACCTTTTGGGTCTTGTGAAGTAGCCTCAATCTCGTATATATATATATATATATATATATATATAGATGTATAAAATCGTGTCATGTTCACAAACAAATGCACATACACGCAAATTTCGGCGCGCGGGCGAGGCATTAAAAAAAACCCATTTCCAAGTGCATTAAGTGATAAACAGTAACATAAAAAAAAAGGGGGAGGAATGAAGGAGGTGAAGGATTCAAAGGAACATGATGCGAGCGTTTCTAGTTAATTGATTAGCTTGTGTGCTTGGGCTAATTAGTAGATTGAGATTGAGATAGATGGAGAGAGAAAGTGGGTGTTTATAAATGCTTTCGGTACTGCCATCACGTGATGGAAGCACCAACTAGCCCCTGGCCGGGAGTGTGTGTGCGCTCCCCGGGTGTTGTCCTCGAATTTATTTACGTTCCTAAACCTATCCTTTTCATCTGGAAGCGATTCAAGTTGTTCGTTTTCACCATATTTCGCAAAATCGCCTTCCTAGCTCAGTGGTAGAGCGCGTCACTAGTAATGACGAGGTCGTCAGTTCAATTCTGGCGGAAGGCATGTTTTTTTGCCGAGGAATGGGTGGTCGGTGGCAGAGGAACGGATGATGCTAGTCGTGCCATCGTGTCCACAAGGATACATGTGTGCGAGAGAGGCGTGGGGTGTGATTTTTGTCCGCCATTCATATCACTTATGTAGACGTAGACTGACATCATGTTCGATTGTTGCAACCAGGTTCAACGTGTCCATTTTGTTTTTTCGTCTTTGTCTTTGATTGATCATGTCAAAGTTCCTAGCAGAGGCCCGTGCTGTGCACACAGACATTTTGCGTGGGGGAAAAAGGTTACAATCACAGTGCAACAAAACGACCATGGGACTGCATGATGTGCGTGAAATTGGAACTCGTCAATGTCATTTCCATGATACTTTTCCCGCACGACCTGCTAACACCAGATGCGGATTGTACCCCATGCACGCCATGACTGCCGCGGAATCGCATGAAGGGTCATGTTTATCTTTTATTTGTAAACACAAACACCTTTGGAATGCCGATATCATGCAGCAGAAAGTTGAAAAGACCCAGAACCCTTTGGCTATCCAATCATGCCCTTAGACCTGATCGAGGACAGTCTCCTTGAACTCACGCTCGACCTTCTGGCCAGAGTCGTCCTGGCTCGACTCGCCGTGGAGACCAAGGAGAGCACCAAGGTCGAACTTGGGTGCCTTGAGGAGCTTGACCTTTCGGACGTGGACCTGCTTGTGCGTTAGCCGCGGTTACGTACATGGGACCACGCAACACATACGTTCTGGAGGGGGTAGATGCCCTGAGTGGCCTTCTCAATCTCACGACCAATGACCTCGGGAATCAGCTTCTGGGTGAGCTGGGCGAGGGTGCATGCGCTGGCGTCGCGGGTCATAATCTCCATCATCTTCTTGCGGATAGCCCTGATCTGCGACGATTGGGCGTATGTGGTCTTCTTGACCTGGTTCGGTCGTCGCTTGGTAAAGGCAATGCAGAAGAGACGGAGGAGGTAGTCGTCGGTGGTCTTGACGACGACGTTGGCCTCAATGAGGGTTTGCCACTTGCGGACCAGGGCGCGGAGCTTGTCGGAGGTGAAGTCGAGGCCGTGGAAGTTGGTCAGGCAGTTCTTGCCCTGGACCTCGTCGACGCGGAGCTTGACCTTGCGGAAAGCGTGGTCCTCGTCCTTCTGGAGATCGGCGAGCGAGACCTCGAATATCCGGCCCTTGAGAGCGTCGTTTGCGTTCTTGAGACCAGTGGTACGGTTGACGAGGGTCTTGCCGACACTGCAAAAAAAAAGAGAGCGTAGAGTAAGCATTGCGTCCCCGTGTGTTGTGGCAGCAGGGAAGTCTTACTCTCGGACTGCGAAAGTTCCTGGGGCCTTGATGTTGTACCAGTCCTTCTTCGCGAAGGTGTCGGTCTTCTTCTTGAGACCCTTCTTTCCCTTTGAAAGACGCTTGTTCTTGCCGACAGCCATGATTGCGAGTCTTGTTGTCGGGCGTCGAGGAGTGGTGGATTGTCGTCGTCGATGTCGAAGAGCGAGAATCCAACGCCAATGTGGTGTTGAAAATCTAAGCGAGCCCAGTAGCGCATCACGTGCGCCAAGACCACACAGGGCCGCGGCGATCACGCACCTGCTGGCTGCAACGCTGCGACAGGCACGGCAAGACGTCTGGCGGGACAGCGATAGGGCGGGTTGTTTTGGCTGCGCTCTAGAACAATTTCTGGAACCAAGATGGGCTCATGTCTGGCCACGGCGATTGTGAGTCTGTCGCGCGAGATGCTCTGCCATGTGCCGTCTGGACATGGACGACCCATCTCTCCGCTGAAACATGAGCAGTGTGAAATGCTGTCCCGGCCCGGGCATGCCTTTTGTGGCCGGTCGGACCAGACGGCGCGACAATTGCTTGCGGCAGTGCAACGGCTGTCCAGGGCTGCCTCATGGGTGAGCCAGAGGGTGCAGCCAAGGACGGGCTTAGCAATATCACGGCACGCATCAAAACATCACACGTCACGGAACACGGCATGTATGTAAGAAGGGATCGGCATTACTATGTTATTATATCTAGTATAGTGCTAATATGTGTGTAGGCTTGGTATAGGCTGGGGGGCACGTCTCACGTGCCCAGCCCTTGTTGCTGTAAGCGCATGGCTTCAGTGCGCCCTCTTGCGCTCCTCCCCCTATGAAGTTGGCGGCCCAGAAACGTGTGCTGGGGTGATGTAACCATGGCGACAGCTGAATGGCTGTGCTTACAGTCATCAGACAACCAGCGCAAGTCGCTTCCTTTGCGCCAAGCCAACTTCTCTCCCCCCCTCCCCCCGTCCTGCGTCTCACACAGAACGGACTCGCTGATTTGGCCCGCCTGCAGCTCACGAATGGCTCAAGGCGGGGGGGGGGCGTAATCGATTGCGTACGGCCTTGGAATTGGGTTGGGCGTGGTTGCTTGGTAGGCTGTACAGTGATGACGCACTGTGGCTTTGGGGTGCAGGCCAGCTGCGGTACTCCCGGAAAGACGACTAACGGGCAGCCGAGTAGGCTGGACGGTAAGAGTTGGCACGCCTGGGTGCATGGCTCAGGGCTTCTTCGGGGCATGGCATCCTCAACGGTGGGTGGAGGTGCATTCACGCCTTGACGTCAGACTGCTGCTCTTGCTGACCATAGGGGCTTTCCGACTGGCAGAACTTTTCAAAGTCGGGGAAGCTGATGTAGCCGTCTGGGAGCATGTTAGTGGCTGGGATTGGCAGGAATTGGTAGGAATGGGGCGTGCTTACCCTGCTGTCTGTACTGGCCGACGTAGCGATCACTCTCGGTCCTGGACATGGCAGGCCTATCCGAGGGGTACGAGGGTTCCGAGTTGAGCCTGGTGCGTGGGGAGAGCATTGGGCTTCCGGGAGGCGTCTCGCCGCGTGGGGTGGTGGGCGACGAGGCGACCTTTGCCAGGAGGATCGAGGCCTTGATGGGGCTGCCCGAGGTGGCAGAGTCGCGGCGAGAGGCCGTGGGCACCAGCGTGGTCAGGCAGGGCGACGAGACGGTGGACGGGGTCAGAGGCGGTCGTCGGCTGCCTGATCGGGAGCGCTGGGGAGCCTCTGTGGGCAGCGAGTAGTAGTATCGAGGGTGGGCGGACATGGTGTGAGTGGGTGGGTGATGTAGTTGTGGCTGAGTTGTGGTTGAGTTGTGGTTGGGTTGCGGTTGGGTTGTAGTTGAGGGTGAATGTGAATGTGAGGGTGAGCGTGTATGGGCGGAGCGAGGCAATATGTATGTGTGGTCGAATTGGCTAGGCGGTGATGCGGTCGCGAGAGTGTAGATGGATAGATATAGCTAGGCGGGCGGGCGTTCCAGGCACCCTGGCCGGGGGCCGAGTGCATCAGCAGCAGCAGCAGCAGAGCAGCGCGGAGCTCCCCACTCGACGTCGCTGGCGGTTTGCGAGCTAGCGCATGCAGCGTGGGCAGCGCCAGAAAACGTGGACGGTCGGAATTAGCCTGGCGGCCAGGGGACGTGTCGCCTGGTCTGGTCGGCCTTTTGCCGCGCCCTGACTCGCCCCGATTGCACACCACCGACCGGCTCACCTCCATTTCTCTAGCCTGCCACTGCGCGCTGCAGGTGTGAGCTGGCCACGCCGCAGTCAGGGCGGGTGACTGACTGACTGACTGACTGACGGACGGACTGACTGACGGACTGACAGGACTGACGCGCCCACACGCCCGAGCCGGAAGAGCGGGTGCGCTGCCATAGCCGCGCCGTCGCATCCTCCACCCGTCGTGGTGGTGGTGGTGGTGGTGGTGGTGTGGCATGCCATCGTCATCTAGGCACGTCGCTGGCTGTCTGCCATGGCCGGCCATGGATCGAGGATGCATCATGGCTGGATGCATACATAGACCCTCGCCTCCGTCATAGGCCTGAGCTGCTGGGCTGGCCTTCCTTGCCAGCGCCCCAGGAACCAAACACGCGCGGCACACGGCTGCGACCATTTCTCCCACAGCCCCAAACGCCGTCGTGAGCCTCCATGGGCCACATAACACACGCCCATCCGCTCGCCCATCCTCGAGCCCCAAGCACCCGCAAGCCCGCGCATTGGTGGGTGCGGCGCCCGAGACAGGCACCGGCACAGGCCCCAGGTACACGCACCGCACCGCACCGCACAGCACTGCACAGCACAGCACCGCACAGCACCGCACCGCACAGGCACCGGCACAGGCCCAGGCCCAGGCACAGGTACCGCCACCACGACCTGCCCATCATCATCAGCCTCACCATCGCTCCGTCTCCGGTCACGGTGACGACATGGCCTGCCCCAGTCTGCACGTTTCCACGCCTGCCGTGTCATGCACGGCACTGCCAGAAAGTCGAGAACGTCGGCCTGCCTAGTGCCATGCCATGCTCTGCCCTGCCCTGCCCTGCTCGGCCCTGGCCCTCCCACACTACTCGTACAGGTACGCCGTCCGGACGCTCACCACACCGGCCGGTCGCTTCGACGGTGCCGACCATCCCCCCCTCGCATCCTCGGCCAGGCAATGACATAGCCCGAGTTCCCATCTCCACCTCTGTCATCCAATGTTGGCTGACTGCGGCACGGCGATTGAGGGCAAGCCACGTACCGCGCCCTGTGCCGCCCGCCAGACGAACCACACCCCCCTCCATATCTTTACCCGGGCGACCAGACTGCGAATCCTCTCTCTTGTTGAAAGTGTCTCAGCTTCGTTCTGGAACCTTTTCATTTTTTTTTACCTTACCATTACTGTTACCGCGCTCCGTCTCCACCTCCACGTCAGCTGTTGCCATGTTGATTCCCAGAGCGGGCACGGCGCTGATTTGCCAAATTGCCCATCCATCTAATCGCTGCACTTCTCAGCTGAGCGCCTAACACGAGACAATTCAACAGATTTTTGCCCACAAACGCCCTCTCCCTCCCCCCCAGCACAGGAACTTTTCGGAACCGCGTCACTCACGCACGCACTCTGCAACTCGTCTCGTAATCCAAACTGCAACCCTCACCTTGTCTGCGCGCTGCGGCGGAGGGGGGTGGAACCCTCGCACACTAGCGACGATGGTTTTTCCACACCAAGCCTCTGGTGCGCTTAGATGCGAACTCACCCGTGCACTTAGACTCGACGTACAGTAGCATCATGTCGTGCTGCCCAGTCCGTTGAAGCTGCGCCAGGGTTAGTCACACCGACGTGCATCATCCAGTCCCGAGAAGCGGGTACCCATCTACGCCGTCATACCCGCGGCCGTTTGTAGCAACTTATTCCATTTTCGCGCCTTCAACAAACGCTGCAAATCCCATCAAACCTGTCTCGGCCCGCGATGATCACCGTCGCCTTCCATGCCTGGCCCTCCCCGGATTTGCATGCTCTCGCCTTTCCTCGCCTTTGCCGTCACAGTCGCAGAGGCGTGCCGGTTTGCCTGATGAAGCTTTCTTGGTTCGCCGCCACCACACCCTCAGCTTGCAACGCCTTGTAATTCTCCGCAAGTCCAGACACGCTTCGACGGCACATGTTGCTGCCGATCCATTCCGCATACCGTACAGGCCACACCGGTCGCTATCACAACCCAGTCCATGTTTGTCGGAGCGAGCGAGCGACCATGTACAACAAGGCGCCTATCACTGCGGCAACGCATGTAAGAGATGTATCATGATAGCCGCCACAATCCGTCTCACGGCGGGGCAGAAAGTCTACCATGCGCATTCTCGATTCTCCATGTGCAAAGCCCACAGTCCGACGCCGGACACTTGTTCCCTACAAATGAGAGTGACTAGTTCAATGGCATGTCGTCTAGCATGCGAGGCTGCTCTTGTTTCACCTTCATACAACCTACCCAACCAGGCAAGCGGGGTAAGTATCCAAGTAAGAAAGCTTTTTTTGTTGACGATGCGCAAGAAGAAAACATTCACCAAGTCAGAAAAGAAGAAAAAGCGGTAAACAAAATGTACACAGACAGACACGCAGACACATGTGAGACACACATACACACACACACACACACACACATATACATACACACAGACATTACATGATAGCGGTGACGAGCAAAGCGCAAAGCCCGATTTGCGGGCCGCTCCCGGTCTATCGCGATATTGTTTTAGCTAGTCAAGCCAGTCAGTCACCCCAACCCCAACCAGTCAATCCCACTCCGTCAACCAGTCGGTCCAACCCAGTCAACCCAAAGCCAATCAACGCATACAATCCAATCAATCCAAACAACTCGGCGACCATTTCTCCGCTTACTCCAACAAACTAGCAAGGTCAAACCAAACAACGGGCGTGGCCCCCCCCCCAAATTTTCTGCTCAGAGTACCCCACTATTACCTTTCTGAAACACTTTACAACGCATACGGGCGGGTTTACTTGGCTCCTCTGCCTCCATTACCCACCCTTTTGACTTGCACATGCACATGGTGCCAGCTGCATCTGGGCCCCCCCTCCTCCATGCCTCCATGACCCCCACCATAACAACACCCACCCCCAAGTGCTCGCCCACATCAACACACACACACGCACACGACGCACATCACAGCACATCACAGCACAGCACACATGCACGGAATTAGAATGGGCAATCATGCGGCCCGGGGTGTCACGGATGGAAGGCGAGCACGTGTGCGGCTGGTGCGGGTAGGGCGCGAGCAGAGAACACTGCCATGGGCACGAGGCCAAGGCTAGGGAAAAGAGGGGTCCAGGTATGTGTACATACACACACACACTACACTGCCACTACCACTACCGCTGCCGCTACCGCTGCTACCATGTAACACATGTCGACGAGTTAGCGTGTGAGTGGGCTGCGCTTGACTGGCTTGGTTGCCTTGGTTGCTTCGGTCGGTCGGTTTTTTTTTTCTGATCGGTTGGTCAAGTCACTCAGGCAGTCAGTCAGTCGGTCGGTTGGTCGGTCGGTCGGTCGGTGCTAGACTTGGTGCCCTATGTTACCGTTTCCCCCTCCCTCTTCCTTGGCGCTTTTCTTGAGCTGCGCGTTTGGTTTGGCATTGTGAGCGGTGATGAGTATGCTGTGTTGTTTAATTGCTGCTGTAAATTGTTGTGTAGGTTTTTTTGCTTTTTCCCCCATCAACTTAATTCATCTCAACTCAACTCACGCATTACATGTACAATGTGTGTGTGTGTGTGCTTTTTTTTTGCTTTGTAGACATGGGGGTGGGGAGAGGCTGGGAAATACACATTGACTTGTTCACTCAATCAATCACACTCACACAGACATCAACAAATAGAGAGAAGGAAAGACAGAAAGAAAGACAGAAAGCCATAGGCCTAGACTTTCCTCCCTCTCCCCCTCTCTTCTCCCTCCATCTGCTGCGCTGTAACAAGGAAAAGAGTGTGTGGGAGACAGAAATCCTGGCCTGCTAACGCTATTTGTGTAGCACTGAGCGAAACAAGGTATCATGCAGCAAATCGGCCCAAATGCGGTACCTTTGCTGCAGCATGCCCAAGTCCCCCCCCCCCAAATCTGAGTACCTGAATCGCCCGCTCGATCATCGCGGGAAGCATGACATGACAGGTACAGTGATCAACCCCTAGTTGGTACCTGGTTTTTTTCTTCTAGTCCGTGCGTGTAGACGTGTGTGAGTGTTGTAGGTAGAACAAGAAAAGGACCAGGTTCAAACAAGACAAAACAAAACACATACACACACATGCATAGTGCTAAAAGCGTGATGATGCGATTGCTGGAAATGACCCGATTCAGCCACGACGCTGTTGGCACGTGAAAAGTATCATGGGTGTGTGTTTTTATTTCCCCACCTTTTCTATTTTCTAATCAGGCGTGCGCTTTTTTGTGTGTGTGTGTGTGCCGTGCCGCTTTTCGTGCGTGTGCGAGAGGGACAGAGAGAGACAGAGAGAGAGAGAGAGAGAGAGAGAGATAGGAATTATCAGCAGCGGCACGCGCGCGCGCGAAAAATTAGAATTAAAATACGTGCAATTACAAAGCGGGCACGCTAGAGTCAAAGTAAGCCAGCAAAGCCAGCAAGCCAGCAGGGCAAGACAAGACAAGACAAGACAAGACAAGGCAAGTACCGATGACTGTGCAGAAAGCAAAGACGCCAAAAAAACATAGATGCAAGGCAACGCACACACACACACACACATACTTACAGACATGGTTAAAAACTCCCCCAGGAAAAGTGTGTCTCGTGATTCTACTGCGGGACAAAAAGAGAAACGAAGGAGGGAGAGAGAATACGAATATCAAATGCCAATGCAACGATGGATGCCTGCACAAGACTGGCAACTGATGTGTTACCAATCTGTGTATAGATATGTATGTATGTATGTATGTATGTATGTATGTATGTATGTATGTATGTATGTATGTATGTATGTATGTATGTATGTATGTATGTATGTATGTATGTATGTATGTATGTATGTATGTATGTATGTATGTATGTATGTATGTATGTATGTGTATGTATGTGTATGTATGTGTATGTGTATGTGTATGTGTATGTGTATGTGTGTGTGTGTGTGTGTGTGCCTCGTTTTCCAAGCCACTAAGAAGATTAGCAGTTCAAAAAAACCCCATTGTTACAGGTCCTTGCCAACTGCTTGTCTCGATTTGGACAAAGAAAAGCAGGGGGCATTGCGGTGTGCGGAACTTACGTCGATATCTTCCCAGCCGCGACCTCGTACATTTGCCAGCTCATCCATCGACATGACATGTCCCGTTGTAACTGTTTCAAGTTTTCCCACGTCAGCAGATCGCTCGCACATGATTGGACGTGTCACACGCAGCATAGGAAAAAATAGGACTTACAGTAGCCAGCCTGGATCTTGGCGTCAATCTCGACACGACTATCAGCAGGAATCATGTCGTCGGGGATCGGGATGCGCTCGTGGATAGGAATGCCCTGCTCGACAATGGCATCGTGCTTCATGTTGGACATGCTCAGCATCCTGTCAATCTTGGTGATGCCAAGCCAGTGCAGGATGTCGGGCATAAGAGCCTGGAACCGCATGTCCTTGACACCGGCAATGTTCTCAGTGCGCTTGAAGTACTCGCTCGCACGGTCTTCGCCTCGCTTCCTGGCATTGTACACGAGGTACTTGGTCACTTCACCCAGGGCACGACCTTCCTTGCGGAAGTAGATAACGACACCGCTTCCACCTCGCTGGGCCTCTTTGACCGCTTCTTCAATACCAAACGTAAGATAAGGGCGGCAGGTACAGATATCAGAACCGAACACGTCGCTGCCGTTGCACTCGTCGTGGATGCGCAGAGCAAGCTTAGCATTGGGATCAGACATCTTTGCTGGGTCACCAAAGATGTAGACGGTCAGACCGCCAATCGGGGGCAGGAAGAGCTTGATGTCGTGGCGGGTGATGAGCTCAGGGTAGGATCCGCCAGTCTCCTCAAACAGTGTCCGACGGAGAGTTCCCTCGTCTGCGGGCTGTGGTTAGCCTACGAAGCTCGAATTTCTTCAAGTCGACTTACCAATGTTGAACCGCTCAGCTACTCCAGGAAGATACCATACCGGCTCAACGGCGACCTTTGTGACGGCAATCTCGCCCGTCTCGTTGATGCAGATCTTGCCATCAGGTACGAGACGACCCTTTTTCACGCTATCCTCGAGCTCTGGCACCTTCATGTGGGCTCTCGTAATGGCAATGGTAGGCCTAATCTCCACATCGTCCTTGTCCATGATATCCTTGTACAGCCATGGTGCAAGATGACCATATGGATCCATAGCCACAATCTTCTTCCTGTCGCTCCATTGCGGGAACGGGCCAATCTTGGCGGCTGGCTCCGTGTTGGTAAAGTCTGGCTTGTGGGTGATGTCGAGGTTCTTGCTTGCCACGGCAAGGGCATTGTAGATGGAGTACGAGCCTCCGTGGGCGCCAATCGCTGTGACCAGTTAGTCAGTGCGACATTGAGACTCGGGGGGCATTGACAACGTACCATTGCGCCTTCGGATCGTGTTTGGATGTCTAGACACAACCACGGGACCACGGACAGCAGGGTCTTTGGCACCCCACTCCATGGGCAAGGGGTCGACGCCCGCCTGGCCCGGATACGACGTCAGGATGATCTTTGAGATCTTCGAGACACTGGTACGACGGGGCTCGGCGTCTGCATTTGAAGGAGGCTGTTCATACTGCTCGCTGACGGCTTCTACGCTCTTGCCCGCGTCGGCTTCAGACGCCTTTTCGGCCGTCAATGTGCCATTGGCAGCTTCACTTGCAGCTTCATCCTTGATTTGCTTGATGCCGGCCAGCATGTTCACGCGCCCATTGATCTTATCGACAGAAGCTGCAAGTACAGAGTTCTCCGCACGGAGAGCCTTGAGCCCGTCGAGTATCTCTTTGAGGACGGCATCGCTGGGGGAGCTTTCGGTAGACATGATGATGATGGTCAACGGCAAACCTCATGCAACGCAGTACAGGCCGCTCGGGTTCTTCAGGTGCAAAAGGGACAGATTTGCTTGTTTGGGTGCGTGTTGCGTGGTAGAACAATGGCCGGCGAGCTCCGACGGGGGGAGAGTGCAACGCAATGCAATTGAATCGAATCAGGACGGCGGGTGGAGATGTAGGCGGGGAAGAGAGCGAGGCACCGGCACAGCTTGGGAAGGGGAGCAGCAAGATGCAGAGAGGGAAGAAGAGAGGGAGAAGGAAAGAAGCAGATGGGCAGGTAAGTTCTGCAGCACACTGGAGCTCGCCGACACCGACGATGCCAGCACCAGCACCATGGACGAACCGCACAGCGAGCAGCTGACTTGGCCTGCTCACGTGCCTGCGGCTTTCGGTGAAGGCTGATAGGAGCGGGGCCGCTTATCGATATCGACGCTGATTCGCCAAGGGCCGCTGTGGCACGCATGGGGCGGCCCGACAGGCATCTTGGCGCGATACATTCATCTCATCATTCCAAACTTCGCGCTCGTGCTCGTGCTTGCGCGTCTCCGCATGCCATAGCAGCGCAACCACCACCGGACGACTCGACGTTTTTTTTGGCCCTCGACGTTTCCCGCTTCCCGCTTCCCGCCTGCCGCCTCCGCCACACGTTGTCTCCAGCGCGCATTACCCGGCCACATCTGCACATCCTTACATAGCGACACCATGGTCTGCTTGCCAACCCCCCCGGCATGGCCAGCCCGACCGCACTGCGCATGCTAATACCAGGGACAGGGCAAGCGCAAATCCTCCAGCAAGCCTCAGGGTCCCAAGAAGGTGCGTCATATATATGCGGGCACCCTTCTTTTCTCTCCCTCTCCCTCGCTCACCACCGCCCCGCGACTGACGCCCGCCGCAGAAGGAGAAGCTGCCCACGACCTTCCAGTGCCTCTTCTGCAACCACGAAAATGCCGTCAGCGTCTCCATCGAGAAGAAGTCGGGCGTCGGCAACCTGCAGTGCAAGGTGTGCGGCCAGACGTTCCAGACCAACATCAACTACCTCAGCGCGCCCGTCGACGTCTACGCCGACTGGATCGACGCCTGCGACGCGGTTGCGAAGCAGGCCGCCAAGGGCAATGCCGACATGTCGCGGAGTACCCACCGCATGGGCCGCATGCCCACAGCGCATAACCACGACGACGACGACGGCGACGGGGGCTTCATTGAGCACGACGATGCAGATGCCGAGGGCGAGTATGCCGACTAGGCTGCCGCGCCGAGGACCTTGTACAACACTGGAGGGTAACGGAGAGGAGGGCGGTTTTACGGCTTGCACGGCGTTTGGCGTGATCAAAAGGGTTCGCACTTTGGCGGCGACGTTTCCATCTTCAACACAAGACCGGCGTGTCCCATGGGTAGTTGGGCACTGTCGGTGCACATGAAATGCAAATTTGACGCACACAACACGTTCTGTCCCTTGTTCGAAAATGCGTCATGATGCAAACAACGTCATGCTAACATGCTAAAGCCATCCAGACCCAGCTGCGCCCGTCAAATGCTCAGTACACCAAGGAGACAACATGGCTCTTTACATGGTGTAGAATCGGTCGCCAAAGTCGCCCAATCCAGGTATAATGTAGCTGGTCCCAGAGTTAGCAGGCAGTATGGCGGATGCTGGCAGGGAAAGCATACTTCTTCTCATCCAGACCTTCGTCTACAAAAGCCGTCACCACGCGAACCTTGGGGAACTTTTCAGCCAGGCTTTGGGCGCCTTCTGGGCTGGCAATCAGGTTGAGGAAGAGGATGTGGTCTTCCGGAACACCCCTGGACTTGAGCACGCCAATGGCCATGAGCGCAGAACCACCTGTCACCAATTAGCCTCCGCTTCGCTCGCATGTTGCACGAGTCATGAACGTACCCGTGGCAAGCATGGGATCCAGCAGCAACACCCATCGGTCGCTAATGTCCTCGGGCAGCTTGTCGTAGTACAGCTTCGGCTTGCTGGTCTCCTCGTCTCTTTGGATCAAAATTTTACCAATGCGCACACTCCTACAGCAGTCCCGCAGACCCTGCTCCATGGACTCTCCCGCACGCATAATCGAGACTCCGCAGATTTTGCCCTGGAACTTGACTCCAGAGTAGGTGCGGCCTACGGGCGTCGTGATCTCCTGAGATTCCACGGGCAGGTGGTTGAGACCCTCCTCGACCAGGAGACGAATGATGCGGTTGCTGTAGAAGATGAAGTCTGCACGGCCTGTGTTACGGTCGCGAATCATACTTGCAGATGTTAGTGTTCGGAAAGCATCACATGCCATAGTGCGCCCGAGCCTTACGTGAGCAATGCTATCAGCTGGGGGGTTTGGGGCAGAATGTGCACATTGGTCTGCTTGATGGGAGTTGAGACAGTGGCTGTTGGCTTGAGGGCCGACGGGCGGTAGTCAGGCCCCAGGCATTGCGAGGGGGCGGCTGGGGGATGCGACTCGGAAGACATGTCGCGGGCTGATGGCTGGAGGTATGAAAGGCTGCGAGAAAATTAGTTTGTGCTCTGCACTTGATGGCACAGGTGCTCGAGACTGATCTCGTGACCATTGGGACATACGGTAAAATGCGTTGCCAGACCAGGACTTGGACTGTTGAAATGCAATGTGCGATTGGCGGGGTGCTATGGATGGAGTGCGCCAAAAGACGGGCCCGACGACACGGCAGAGTCAAATTGATGGCCACGGGGTACAGATAAGGAGGGAAAAAGAGGAGCTGAGGCACGAGAGGAGTAGCAGTCTGGGCTCGTGACGGGCGGCGAAGTGCTTCACTGGGTTGGGAAGGAGCGACCCTTGCCCCGCTGTCCTGGCCTAGTGTGGCTCCAGTTGGCGAGCTGTGATGGCGGGTCCCTGCCTCCACGCGCGCAGCCACTCCGACGGCCGCCATCGTCATTGTCATCGTCAAACCCCATGCAAACGCCTGCGCACCTTTGGGCCTCCTCTCACCATCATTGTTTGGCCGCTTGGGTGAGGTGAATGCACGTGCCATCTGCCCCAATGCGAATGCCATCATCGCCCCAGACACGCAAGCTCCAGGCCCTCCTCGCGTACAAGATGCGCGTCTAAGCACCACCTTTCTCCACCACACGCCTGCCCCCGCCTGCGCACCGCTATGGCGACAACCATGTTTGGCGGCTTCTCCTCGTCCGACCGCCGCAAGAAGGTCGTCTACGGCAAATCGTCGCGCCCCTCGGCCCTCCCACTGCCTGCGCCAGAGGCCGGCGAAGAGGCGCCTCCATCGCCCGAGCGACCGCGAAAGCAAACCGCACTGGGGGATACCGGAGGCGCACTCAAGATCGGGCACATGCTAGGCAATGCGCGCCCCAAAACCGACTCTGGCGATGTTTTCGACATTCCCTCCGAGGACGAGTTCTACTCACGCCCAAAGCCTGCTAAGAAGTTGGTAGCGAAGCTTCGGACGCCCGAGGCGAGCCTCAATGCTCCAGCCGCTCAGAACGAGGCTTCCCATGGCGTGAAGAAGCTAGCCAAACCGACGCAGCCATTGCGCAAGCCTGAAGCCGCCAAACCTAGCACAGTGCCTACCAAACCACAGAAGCTTGCCCAAGTGCCGAAGCCGCCACATTCCAACCCGACCGTGCCCCGGACGCAACGTGCAAAGACGCCTCAACCCTCGGAGCTACCGACACAGACGGCAAAGAGCGTAGGAACGGCGCAAGCAACGGGTGGCAAGACGAAAGCGACCTCACAAAGGAACATATCTGCGCTGTCAGCCGTGTCCAAGACCCAGGACAATGCGAAAACATCCTCAGCGCTCCCCACAAAGAAGCTTTCAGCGAAGCTCGCGACCAAGCCAACACAAGATTTGGGCGTATTTGACGTGCCAGCATCAGACGACGAAGCTCCCTTAACAGTCAAGAAGATGTCACGTCCAGCCCAAGCGGAAAAGAAGAAAGAGCCTGCAAAGATACCGTCAGCGCTCGGGATGGGCCACAAAGAATCCCCGACGTCTGACGATTCCAGCGCATCGAATAAGCGTAAGCGCAAAGGGTCCGTCTCTTCTGCCACTGGAGTTAAGCCAGCCCTGCAACTCAAGTCTGGAAGCTCAGCGCCTCAACGTAGTCGAAAGTCGCAGAAGAAGGAGAGCGATGATTCACCGGGTTATGCACCACAGGTGCAGCCAGATGCAAGTACAGCCCGGGCGGCTCAACCCACAGTACTGACGGGCAGCAAACCCAAAAGAACAAGACAACGTACTGTACCAGTACTGGGGCCACCGAAAGCTATGAAAGGTCAATCTTCGCCAGCTGTGCTAAATAGCATGCTTCCCAACCGCCAACTAACTAAGCCATCTCCCACAGCCGAAGGCCCCAAATTCTCTGAGCTCGAAGACCAGACCATGTATGACATTCCAGACGCGCTCACTACTCCTGTGCGTGCGCCAAAGGCAGCTATGCCTGGCTCGACAACCCCACGACAAAAGACACTTTTTGGCGGCTTGTTGGGCGATTCTGCGTCGTCTAGTACACCGATGCCTGCTATTTCTAGTCTGCAGCTGACAGATACGAAGCCAAAGTCACTCATCGGCAGCTTGTCGAGATGCAAATCTGATATTACGCATAGTACCCAAGCCCGCAAGACTAGACTCATCGACACACTCAAGCCGGCCGAAAGCAGCTCGGATGACGAGGAAGAGGACAGCAGTGGCGAAGAGGATGACAAGACAGAAGTACACCACGACAACGGTCGACATGCGCAAAGGCCTGTTCAGACGCCCACAGATGTGCGTCCACCAGCAGACGCTCCGTCTGAGGACATGGACGTTGACCGGGTCAATGCCGATTCGCAAACGTCGCAGGGCACGACTGGTTTTGGCATGCGACCGAGGCTTACGTACGCCATGTCGCGATCCTATCTGCGTGAAAGCAACGCAGAGGATGATTTGATGATGACTATGGATTTGGGAGACGACTTTGGTCCCCTTTCACAGTCCAGGGATACTGTTTCGGTATCGGAGGATGACGCTGATCCCACGAGCCAGGCACAAGCTCACCATGAGCTCAAGAGCCGAGGACGCAACTATGTTTTCCAGCAGGAGGCTCAGACAATGATTGATGACATGGGCAGCACGAGTAGCGGCAGCATTCGACGGAGTGCCATGATTGAGCTGTGCACCAAGATGGCCGACGAGACGTTTTGCAGTCAGCTTCTTGACTCGCCATTGGCGCGTGAATTCTTTAGAAATATTTCCAAGGGCGGAGAGATCATTTTCGATTTTGCCACGGCTGTTGTCATGGTCTTCATGCTGCGCACGAATCCGAGCTACACGGTCCTGGACCAAATCCTGGAAACTGGAATCCTGGCCAGCTTGCCCAAACTCATTGGCAACGATTCAGACATACAGAGGATTGCAAAGGATCGCAAGACGAATCTGTCAAAGATGGCCAAAGAGTCGGTGATTTCGTTCCGCGACTTGATTCAGCAATGCTCCATGTGGTCGCCTGCAACGGTCAGCAAGGTGACGCCACAGCTCGTATCGATCAAGGCAGTAGAGCTGCTGGTAATAGGGCTGCGCAAGGCTGGCAACTCTGAGCCGCTGCTTGACCAGAAGATGATCTCGCAGTTGGTTGAGATTGCAGCAGCATCACACGAACGCTTAAGCACGGATCAAGGGACTCCAGAAGACGAAGCGGCGCTGTTGATGGTACTCTCGATATTGGAGTCGGTCTCGGCGACGAGGCAGAAGCAAGCTACGTGGTCTACTGCCGTGCTCGAGCGTATCGCGAGCTTCATGCCTCGATTCCTGCAGGCTGACGCTGCGGCTTCGACCATGCTAGCGGTCAAGCTGTGCATGAACCTTAGCAACAACAAGCCCAAAGCGTGCCAATCGTTCTCGGGCAAGGCGTTTGTGCAGCCGCTTGTGCAGTCGATTATTGAGCGATTTGAGTTTCTCAACGCAGGACCGGCATCGGAGAAGCGAACAGAGACTGTGGAGAGCTTGATTCTGAGTCTGGGTGCGACGATCAATCTTGCCGAGTTCAGCGACCAGATGAGGGTCAATGCAGATGACGACAAGCAGAGTATAGAGAGGCTGGTCAGGATATTCTTGGAGGGCTCGGAGCGTGCTTCACAGGTATGTAGACAGGCCTTGTTTGTTTGGTTCGTTGGGACTGACTGGGGTGCAGGCCAATTCGGTAGAAGAGTCACATTCGGGTGTAGCTATTGGGTACCTTGGTGTGCTTCTGGGCAACGTTTGCCTCAACGACGGGGTCCGAAGCAAGGTGCGCATGCTGCTACCAGGGCAGGGGTTGATGGCGCTCGTGGACAGCATCAAGGAGTTTGTGCGAGTGCACGAGCACGTGGACAAGAGGACGGAGGAGTTTGAGGGAGCAGAAGGCCAAGAGGCGCTGCAGACGTACACGGCGCGGCTGATGCTCGTGGTCGAGAGGCTGCAGGGGGCGGTTTAATGACATGTTGTTGGTATGACGACAGATTGGCGTTGGTGGGCAGGCTGCGGGGACATGTCTAGTTTGGTGTTTGTGTTTGGTGGGCGGCTTGATATTCGTGGCATGATACCCTAATTCACGACGGTGCAACCACCAGGATGGGGCGGCATGCAGGAGCAGACGGCAAGTATATACAATGCGTGGGACTAGGATGCAATCGAGGCTAAATGGGCATGACAGGCACCTGGTAAGGCTGCATGGGGTCCCACGGCAGCGGTCGACGTGACGCAACGGGCGCTATGTGGAGCGCATTGCCGGCGGAGCACTATGCAGGCAATTTGCTGGGGGGCGACTTGGGCGCGGCGGGCGGGCGAGGTTGAGGGCAGGCAGAGCACGAGTCCAGCAATGCAGCAGCGCGGGCATGCCGGGCTGCATGTGCCTGTCGTGTCGTTGCCGTGGGCGCGGGTCGAGTCGAGCAAAATGTCGTGGCATCGGCTAAGTTGTGGTTCGGGGGAGCGGGAGGGCTGCGATGGCTAGTCTAGACGCGAGGCCATGGACCGACAATACGTAAACCAATGCTTCGAGAAGCGCGAGAGTCGCCAGTCACACGGCGGCACGGGGGCTGGACAGCGGCGCATGTCCCATGGCTGCTGTGCGTGTGTGTGTGCGTGTGCGTGTGCGTGTGCGTGTAGGTGTAGTGTTGATTGTATCAAGAGACGACATGGGCCGGCGGCCAGCATGACGGCATCAGCACGTGTCGGGCGTCTCTTCTGTTCTGCTTTCTGGCTTCTATTTTTTTTTCTTCTTCTTTCTTTTCGTCTGCTCGGTCCTCTTTGTGCTGCCGTCCTGTGTCGTCGCCGTCTGCCGCCCATCGCATCCCTCTCCGTCCGCCTGTCACGTCTGGCCCGCTACCGCTTGCAGGGCGACGGCGTCATCCCCGGAGCTAGCTCGTCCAGGCAATCGGCAGGCCCAACGTCCAAAACGCAACTTAGGCAGCTGCGTCTCCCCCCCCCGTCGTCTGAGAACGGCCACCTCCAAAAATCCTGGCCAGTCGTCTGCCATCGTCCCCAGAGCTCCCCTAGAAAAAGAACCCCCCGCAACACCATGGCGCCGCCCAAGCAGAGGAAGATTGCCATTGTCGGCAGCAGGGCAGTCGGTACGTCGTGGCGCGCCCGGCTGGCGCGCCCTTCACATGCAAGCACCGCCGCCGCCCGCAAGCAGCATACTGACGCCACTCTGCGCAGGCAAGTCGAGTATGACGGTGCAGTTCGTCGACGGGCACTTTGTAGACAGCTACTATCCCACGATTGAGAACACGTTCAGCAAGATGATCAAGTACAAGAACCAGGACTATGCCACCGAGATTATCGATACGGCAGGACAGGTACACGAGGTTTTCTTTTCTCCCCGCGTCGCGACGCCCAGCCCAGCTCCACACCCCACGCCCGCCCTGCCGTGCAGCCATGTCTGTCGGCAACATGGACAAGTAGAGAAAATGCCCGCTGACTTGGACGCCCACTCCCAGGATGAATACAGCATTCTTAACTCGAAGCACTTCATCGGCATCCACGGCTACATGATTGTCTACTCGGTCGCCAGCAAGCAGAGCTTCGAAATGGCCCGCATTATCCGCGATAAGATCTTGAACCATCTGGTAAGTGCTGCCGCATCCTGCCGTCGTCGGCCCATGCACCCTTGGACGTGCATTCCCCCCCTCGACCGGACGCCGTAGCTAACCACAATGTCGACTAGGCCGTCGAATGGGTTCCGCTGGTCATTGTGGGCAACAAGTCGGACCTCCGCCCCGAGCAGCGCCAGGTGACGCCCGAGGACGGCCGCGCTCTCGCCGCCGAGTTCAAGTGTGCGTGGACCGAGGCCAGCGCTCGCTACAACGAAAATGTACAAAAGGCCTTTGAGCTCATGGTTGCTGAGGTGGAGAGATCCCAGAACCCGGGTGAGCCTGCAGGCGGCAGCAAGTGTACAGTCATGTAATAGCTGAGACTCCTGACTGACATGAGCACACCCACCAAGGCGCCGGGGTGGACAAGTACCAGGCGCTCCAAAAAGAGCGCGATGACAAGGCACAGAGGCGCCAGCAGTTGAAGGATGCGTTTCGCCATCCCATTGACCATTGGAGGCGTGTGCTCGCAAAGAAAGACTAGGACGCGGTTTCGCCCCTTTCCTTTGGCTCTGTAGACGGCATAGACGGCGGCTTGGGCGGCTCTGACTTTCTTGTTTTCTAATGCCGACACGGGCTTCCTATTCTTCATTGGGGGGGAGGGGGGCCACAGTTCGGAATGGCGTAATGGTGTAAGCGGAGGTGTAATAGGCGTTGGTTGTATTGCTATCTGATCTGTACTTGCTATCCGTGCGCCTCTCAACCATCACGTCTCACGGCCACTACTGCTCTACGTTATTTTCAACAATGGACGACGTACCCGGTTGCAGCCGCCACAAGGCACGCGTGCATGTTTGTCTTTTTTTTTGGCGTCTGGCATAACCGCCAGCCCCCGTCTCAACCCTGCGTGGTCTACAGCAATAGCTCCACCTTGCCAGTGCATGCACCGACCACCCCTCCAACCCAACCCAATCCAATCCACAGAACTCGTTTAGGCAGCTCTGAAGCTTTGACGAAAAAGCCACTGTGTTCGACGGTCTTTGGCAAGGCCTACTCGATTTGGTAGTTTGGGACCGAGAGCTCTGTGCGGCCTCATGTGCCCATGCGGCGGCACCAGCTTTCTTCTTCCCTAGCATCCGTCACCGCTCGTGGATGGAGTGCCGTATTGCGGCCCGGACTGATTGGCTGCCGCGCCGAAGCCGCTTTCCACATGCGGCAGTTTCGGCCAGGGCCGTCGATTGCTGTGCTTTGAATGAAAAGGATTCCCCGGTGCGTTTGCGGTTAGACCCAGGTGCCGGCGCACTTGCCCGCTCTGGGCCTAGTGCGGGCAACTGAATCGAATCCCTGCAAACCGGGCCTGGTGTTGTGTGCGGGACACAACTGATGAGTCGCCTTTGACACGCACCGCACGACCACGCGCCATTGCTCCCTCCCCCCGACACGCACAGAGAGAGAGAGCTTGTGAGACAGGATGCTTGACATGTACGTCTGAATCTCTTTCATTCTCCCCCTGAAAAATCCGACGCAGGACATGTAGCTGTATGCGCCCGACGAGTGGGGTCAGGAGGGGTTTATACGCACTCAGAGGGGGGAGCATGTAGAGTGGAAAACATTGGATAATGCTATGGCCTTCAGCCGCCACCAAAGAAGCTCGCTAACAAGGATTTCTCTACAGAAACGACTTTATCAAGGAGCGCGGCGGCGACCCGGAAGTGAGCATCCCTCGAACATGCTCGCGCGATGCATTTGCCATGGCTAATTCTCCGCCTAGAAAATCCGCGAGTCGCAGAAAAAGCGATGCGCGCCCGTGGAGATTGTAGACGAGATCATTGCCGATTTCGAAGGCAAGACAGCCCACTCGAAAAAAAACCACATGCTAAAGTTCATGGTGTGACTTACACGCAAACGCAGACCACCGCCGCACGCAATACGACGCAACGCAGATGGGATCCAAGATCAACGCTGTACAGAAGCAGATTGGAGCCAAGAAGAAGGCCAAGGAGAACGCCGACGACCTGCTCGAAGAGAAGAAGCAGCTCGAGGAGTCGAAGAAGAAGCAAGAGGCCGAGGCCCACGCAAAGCTCCTCAAGCTGCATGCAAAGGCTAAGACGGTGGGCAACTACGTGTACAAGGATGTGCCTGTGAGCGACAACGAAGACAACAATGCTGTTTTGAAGACGTGGGCGCCGGAAGCAAGGAAACCAGAGTTCAAGCAGGATGGCATTCCGCATCATGGTGTGTTGGCGAGGCTCAACGGGTGTGTTGATACATAAATCAATGGTGAGCGAGTGATACTGATGGTATGGTTTAGCTACGACCCGGAGCGAGGCACAAAGATTGTTGGTCACAGAGGATATGGTAGGCTGACACTTTATGCTATAGAACTTGACTAACTTCTGTCTAGTACGTACACTCAAAACTATCGCGATTCTTTCACTACAATTCGTTGCGGAGGCAGAAAGTGTTGGATGGAGTTTCTGCTTGGAAGTTGCGTAACATAAAGCATCGGCTAATTGACGTGGTTTAGTGCCTGACTGGATACGGCGTCTTCCTCAACCAGGCGCTGATCAACTATGGTCTAGAATTCCTGGTAGGTACCACACAGGGTATGTCTAACTGAATACTGACATGGACTTTCAGTTCAGCAAAGGCTTCACCCCTAACCAGCCTCCCTTCTTCATGCTCCGCGACCAGATGGCCAAGACAGCACAACTCTCCGACTTTGACGACGAGCTCTACAAGGTCACCGAGAGCAAGGACAAGCCAGAAACCGACAAATACCTCATTGCTACCTCGGAACAGCCCATTTCTGCTCTTCACTCGGAGGAGTGGCTCCACAGCGACCAACTACCCATCAAGTACGCTGGATACTCGACAAACTTCAGGAAAGAGGCTGGATCCCACGGCAAGGACGCATGGGGCATCTTCCGGATACACCAGTTTGAAAAAGTTGAGCAATTCCTCCTCACACACCCTGAAAAGTCATGGGAGGCATTCGACGAGATGCTCACCAACTCGGAGGAGTTTTACCAGAGCCTTGGTCTGCCCTACCAGGTTGTCGCCATTGTTTCTGGAGCTCTGAACAACGCAGCTTCGATGAAGCGTGATTTGGAGGCCTGGTTCCCCGTTACCGGTGGTGGCGAGTACAAGGAGCTTGTCTCGATTTCCAACTGCACCGACTACCAGACGCGTGAGCTGGAGATTCGACATGGTGTCAAGAAGCTGAACGCAACCCGCAAGGAATACGTTCACGCGCTCAACGGCACTCGTAAGTTTCTGGTATTGATGATGGACATGTATGCACTAACAGAGGACATTAGTCTGTGCCACTGAGCGAACACTCTGCTGTATCCTCGAGAACTACCAGACACCTGAGGGTTTTGTTGTTCCCGAGGTGTTGCGCAAATACATTCCGGGCCAGCCCGAATTCCTGCCATACGTCAAAGAGTGGAGGGCGCCCAAGGAAGACAAGCCCCTCCCCGACCGGACGAAATAGAGCTGTGATTGTTTCTAGTCTGGTGGGTACGATGAAAGTACTAGGCTGAGGATGTTGCATCTACCTGCCATAGTAAGGGATGAATGAATGGATATGGGCTGGAAAGGGATGATTTGTAGCAGCTACTGCATGAATGAAAATGCATGACAATGAGAATGATTGAAGTAAAGAAATGTGCACTTGTGGTTTTATGTTGAGATGTACCACCAACTCCCGCCAAATAAGCCTCTCTTTCTCTGTCTCTCTCTCTCTATTCACCCGCATTTGCCAAACAACCCCCCCCCCCTCATCCCTCGCAAAAATCAGCCAAGTCTGTTTTCCCAACTCCCCAACCACCGATACCACATGCACACTTTTTCCAACTCGCTCAACGCCCTGTCTACCGCACACATGTTTGTTTTTTGTTCCATGGTATCGTCTCCTTCCTTTTCATTCCCATCACCATCACCATCACCACCACCACCACCACGACGATGACCACGACGATGACGATGCTCTCGCCGCCGCCGCCTTCGACCCTTGAGCTCAACAAAGAAAATATAATGCCAATTCTGCTCTCCGCTCGGCCGCGTATTAATCGACGTGAGATTGATGCCGTGCGTGGAAAAGGCCGTGAGACATGCTGCCAGAGCGCCTGGATTCGCGTGGTCAAGCGTAAATGTAACTAGGGATTTCCAGTTTCCATCATCATCATCATCTTCATTGTTGGTATTATTATGATTTGGAGGTTCGGTGTTGGATTCGTTGATTTTCACAACAGTCGTCGTTGTCGGTGTAGTTCCAATAGCGTGTGTAGCGATATTCGTGGAATCATGGTCCCCGCAGCCCCGGTTCCGTAGCACCAGAAACCGCGTCGTGTTGCCCAGTTTATCATTGATGCCTTTTGCAAGCACATCGAGGCCCGTCAGGTGTGCGGCCATGAGACTGGAGAGTGCGGCCGACGCGCCAGACGGGTCCTGCGCTGCGATTTCAGCAGCTCGAGAGGTAGAACTCACGTCGTGCTTCTCGGCCGTCTTGAGATGGGTGCTGAGGAAGTTTTTGCACTGGCCCCACGCTTGCGGGTGTGAGTACATGTGTTTGATGTGCGAGAAGTTGGGGGTCGCGTCTCTTTCTCTTTCTCTTTCTTCTTCTCCTTGTCCAGCTGTTTTTTCTTGGTTTTGCGTTTGCGACACAGACACAGACACATCTACATTTACTTCCTTACTACTCCTACTCCTACTCTTACCCGCCGCAAACCCCAGCAAACAATGCTGAACAGCGACATACGCCTCTCCGCAAACAACGATATCCGGGTGTTTCGCCTGCACGTCGGCAAACAGGTCGAGCGTAAACACGACGCTGCCATTGGAGCTGTTTTCAAACGGTACGACGCCGCGGAATGCGGTGCGGGCCTGGACCGCCGAAAAGACGTCTTCGATGGTCACGAGCGGGGCGAGCGTGACGGGGGGAGATGCGGATGAGAAGGCGGAGAGGGCGGCCTAGTTTGTGTGTTGGAATTTTTATTTTTATGCTTGTGTGTGTGTGAGAGAGAGAGAGAGAGAAAGAGATGGTGGGGGTGAAAAGGGAATTGAATTGAAAGTATAGTTGTTCAAGGAAAATAGTGATGATTGATACAAGAAATGAGTGATACAAAAACAAAACAAAAAGAAAAGATGTATCAGACGATGGAATTATTCGAAAAATCTTCAATACACCATATATTCTTCTCTTTCTATCTTTCAGACAGAAGGAGGAAAAAAAAAAGAGAAATAGACATGTAAGCCGAAAATGGAAAAAAAAAATCCAAACACAAAACAATGACGATCTGAAAGCCATGGTGATTGCTCAAACTCACCTGGTGCGTGTAGCTACCCTCTGGCCCCAAAAAAGCCACGACGGGGGTTTCGTCGCCAGCCATGTTCTATGTTGTTGTTGTGGCGAGACGTTGTATGTAATACACACACGGGATGCAAAGGTGGATTTATATATACGTTAGGTGGTTGTTGACTGGTCCTCGGAACGGCGTCGGAACCCCGGTATCGGCCCTACGGCAACATGATCAAACAGGAAATTAGCAAAAGCAAGAAAGCAAAGCACATGTAGGGCGCAGTACCCTAGGGCGCAAGACTAGGGTGCATTGATCAACCAATGCGGACAAGGTCAACGTCACTACCGAGCGTATCACCATCACTCATTTCAACACATGTCAGAACATCAATTTTATTTCAGCTAAACTTGAGCGAGCGACGAGCTGACGCATAGGTACGTGAGCAATCTGCATTTTCTTCTTCCCCTTTGAGACCGCTTCTGGAGAGAGAGGGCAGCCGATCAAAGACAAGATCCATCCTTCAGAACCCCAATATTTCTAGTCCTGACTGCAGCTAAGATAGAGCTTCTGGGACTGACTTTTGAAGAGGGCCGAGCCTTTGAAGAGGCTGCTGCCTCTCCATGCAAGCGAGAGCGGGTCGTGGTAAGAATGGGTCTTTGTCGACCTAGACGCCATTAGCAGAGGCTTGTCGACATGGCCGTCTTCAACCTACATTGCAAACCCTCCGTAGGCACTCCCATCTTACAATCTGGAGAGGCGAAGCGTCGTTGCTTCGACTTCTCCGGCCTTGACTCTGGACACGTCGTTTTGACTTTTGGCGCGGGTAGCGGACGTTCCTTCACTCGACACGAGTGGAGACGCTACCTCGCAGTCAGCGAGGGCGCACAACCGTCAATCGTCGTAGAACTCGTCTTCGTCATCGTCGACCTCGGCGAGCTGCTCAAAGTTGAGGGCGTAACGGAGGATGGCGCCGATACCACCAAAGCCCTTGACGAACTGGTTGCCCTCGGAAGAACGGTCCGAGACGAATTCGAGGTTGGCGCCAAAGTCGCGGTACTTTTCAGCCAGCCACTCGAGCATCGAGCCCTGGTCAATGACTTCCATCTCCTGGCCCGTCTCCTTGTCCATGAAGATGCTTCGGTCCTCTTCTTGAGCCTTGGTGGTGTGGAGAATGATCTCCGAACCCGACGAGCTCTTGAGAACCCACCGCGTGATTTCCAGGTTCTCAAAGACAATCAGCGTCTCTGCGGCACCAGCCTCCAACGCCTTGAGCGTGTCGTCGATACCGTAGCAGACCTTGCCCGAGTCCTTGGAGATGTGGTCAAAGTACTCGTTGATGAGCTTCTTCTCCTGGATAAACTTGACGTTGCTAAGCGTCTCGCCTGCCAGTTCAATGGCCTGGTTGAAACCGTTCTCGCCTCCGTACGACACGTCGACGACCTTGATGACCTTGGACTGCAGGCGGTTGTCGAACAGGTCGGACTGGTTGAGGTCGTTCTTGAAGTCGGCCGAACCAGCGAGAATGATGCCGGCGACGTTGACCTTGTCGGCGGTGATGAAGTTCTGGACAGCCAGCTCGGCCACCTTGCGGACGTAGTTGTGGCGCTTTTCTTCACGCAGACGGGCAAAACGCAGCGCCGACTGACCACCACGGCCGTGCTTCTTGGGCAGGTCGACCGAAAACCTGCTACTGTCAATACCACGGCATCCCTGGCACGACACGTCACACTCACTTGTGAACAATCTCGCGTGTGTTTCCCGAAAGGGTGCCGAAGAGGGCGCCGTTTCCGTCCATGATGATGAAGCCAAACTTCTGGTCCGACTCGAGCAGCTCGCTCAGGGCCTCGGTGTGGAACTTGTTGTCACACAGGTACAGCGACGTGTTGATGGGCTTGAAGGGCTCAAAGTCGATGTTGATCTTGCGCTCCTTGCCCTCTGCGGTGATGATTTCACCGCAGTAGACGACGAGGCCATTGGGAGGGACCTTGGAGTACAGCTTCAGGCGCTGCTGGGTCGACGTGATGGCGGACAGGACCGAGAGGCGGTTGACGCGGGACTTGATGTTGGAGGCCGTTCCCTGGGGGCGCGCACGTTAGTCGATCGACCCGGTGGCCACAGATACGCAGACGTACAAACTCTTCAGCCAACATCTTGGCAGCGCGCGAAACCTGGTCCTTGGGGGCTTTGCAACGTCAGTCGTCGGGTGCGTGGGTGGCTGCGCGGGCTCGACATACGGATGATGAGCGAAATCATGGATGTGCCATTTCCGCGGGCGGCCTCGAGGCGCTTGATGAGCTTCTTGACCTTCCAGATCTCAATGTTCTTCTCCGCCTCGTTGGGCTGCTCGTTCTTCCCGGACATGGCCGCGGTGTTTGAGGGGGGTGGTGTGGAGGGAGGGAGGGAGAGGTTGGCAGGGAGGGTGGGGTCGAGAGATTTTCTTGCCCAGTGCCAGCGAGGGGCAGGCAAGCGACGACGTAGCCGACGGGCGGCAGCACACTACTCCTGCGAGCACGCGTTCGCCGGGAGCGACAGGCGGGGGGCGGCAGAGAGGGAGGGGGGGAGAGAGAGCGAGGCTTGGGACGAGATATTCTGGCTGCACACTCACACACAGGCACGCACACATGCAGACGCATCGGATACACATGAGGATACGCACACTGCCACTACCACTGCCACTGCAGAATCCGGCCAGAGCGGTCAGTCGGCAGCTCGCTTGCGCGGCCAGTCAGCGCGGCGGGCGGGCAAGGCTGTCTTATCATGCGGCCTTCGCGCCCTGGCCGGCCATGACGGCAGTCGTGCGGGGGTCTCGTCTTGCTCTCCATGGCTCCTAACCTTCTGCGTGCTTCCAAGGCCTGGGTCGGCGCTTTTTATATAATGCCATCCGTCGTGTGTTATCTCGTGCCTCCGCAATGCGCAATCTCAACCCGACGATAGCCTGACATCGCCTCCAGTAGTTCCCGCCTCCCTGCAGGGTTTCATCACAACCAACTTTTCTCCTCCCTATATGTATCAGCCCTCCCGCGCCCCGTCCTCCTCGCCACCACGCCTTTGACTGCTCGTGCCCGCCGCTGCTCATCATGGACATTAGGGGAAAGCAGCCATCCACCTGGGACGCGTACGACGGCGCCGCGAGGGCCTCAGTCGACTCGGATGCAGGAAGCCGAGTGCAGTGGGACCAGCTCGAGCGGCGCCCCAGCCGAGAGAGCAACATGACAGGCGGGGGGCGCTGGTCAGAGGCAGCCGGCGAGCTGCGGCGACGGAGGTGAGTCGAGTGAATAGTGGGCGGGCGGGCCATCACGCCCCCATGATTGACCAAGCTAGCTAACCACCTCCCTCTCAGATCCTCCATCGGCCACCAGTTTGGCGCCCTGGGCGACGCCGGTGGCGTCAACAGCATCAACAACTTTGCGCGGTCCTGGCAGCGTGCCGCCGGCTTCTTCGAAATCACACCTGTGCGCCCCTCGTTCCGCGTCGAGCACGACGGCGACGACGACGACGACGACCAAGATGGCGACAGCGGGGCGACCGAGTTTGTGCGCAGCGGCCTGCCAGCCTCGATACCAGACCAGCGATCAGCCCTGAGGGAGGCGCTGCAGACGCAGGGAAGGCACTCGTCCGACAACGCAGTCGCCGATGAAGAGCAAGCGGTGAATGAACAGACGCAGCTGCTGCCCCACGCAGTCGAGCAGCGCCTGAGAGGAAGAGGGTCGAGCATATTCCAGGTCGAGCCCTCGCTGTCGTCGCCTTTTGGCGCAAGCTACGGCACCGCATACGGCAGTCTGAGCTCGCGCTTCAACGAGTCGTCGATGCGCCACGCAGGAAGACTGTTCACCGAGCAGCAGACCAAGGGGGCGACCGAGCCCGAACAAGAGCGAGAGCCGCTTCTTGTCAAGCAGATTGAAGAGGACGGCCATATCATCAATGTGGTTGTGGGCCAATCCACCGTGCCCCAGACTATTTTCAACTCGGTCAACGTGCTGGTTGGCGTGGGGCTGCTCACTCTCCCCCTGGCCTTCAAGTACTCGGGCTGGCTGATTGGCATGATTTTCCTGGCATGGTCAGCTGTTGTCACTTCGTACACTGCGAAGCTGCTAGCAAAGTGCCTGGACGTTGATGGCTCCTTGATTACATTCGCCGACTTGGCCTATGTCTCGTACGGATCAAAAGCCCGAATTGCCGTCAGCATGTTGTTCTCTCTCGAGCTGCTGGCAGCCTGTGTTGCGCTCGTGGTGCTGTTTGCTGACAGCATGGACGCTCTCATTCCTGGCTGGGATATCTTGCAGTGGAAGATTCTGTGCGGCTTGATCCTGATACCGCTGAGCTTTCTACCGCTCCGCTTTTTGTCATTTACGTCTGTTTTGGGCGTCATGTCCTGCTTTGGAAGTAGGTTATAATCACACCCTTGCAGAGCTCACCTACTAACATCTGCTAGTTACAATTGCCATCTGGATCGACGGCCTTGTGAAACCCGACGCTCCCGGATCTATACGCCAGCCCGCAACGCAGTACCTGTTTCCCGACAACTGGCTTACCGTCCCCCTCTCATTTGGCCTGCTCATGTCTCCCTGGGGCGGTCATTCTGTTTTCCCAAACATCTACCGCGACATGCGACACCCTTACAAGTACCGGAAATCAGTCGACGTGACGTACATCTTCACTTACATCATCGACGTCGGGATGGCATGCGCCGGCATCCTCATGTTTGGCGACGACGTCAAGGAAGAAATCACGAGCAACATCTTCCTGACACAGGGTTTCCCCAAGGGCATTTCCGTCTTTATCGCAATCTGCATCGCCATTATCCCCCTGACAAAGATTCCGCTCAACGCCAGACCCATTGTCAGCACTCTCGAGCTTCTCTTTGGGCTGGACGCACGTTCTCTCGCCATGTCATCCTCGATGGGTGGCATGAGTGGTCTTACTCGGGGAGCCCTCAAAATTTCCCTGCGCATCATTACCATTATTATTTTCGTCTTCATCGCTACCGTTTTCCCTTCGTTCGATCGCATCATGACGCTCCTCGGAAGCGTCGCCTGTTTTAGCATTTGCATCATCCTACCATTGATGTTCCATTTGAAGCTTTTTGGAAAAGAGATTTCCAGCGGCGAGAAGACGATGAATTGGGTACTGATCGCGGTGAGTACCGTAATGGCCATTGTCAGTACCGCGTTTGCTTGCGTGCCCAAGGAGACACTCGGGGCCTAGACATGAAGATATGTTTATTGGAGGAGGCATGAAAAGTTTAATGTTGTAGTGTGTTCTTGGCTCGTACACCGTTCGATATCCAGGATGTAGTTTGGCGTTTTGTAGCATTTGTTCGGCTTTCCTTTTGGCATCAGTATGTAAACCAGCATTCATGACCGAGTTCGAGGTTCACTGTCTTTACAGAGGCAGTGGCCTTTTCCTTTCACTAGAGAATCAGGGTCTAGCCTGCACTCACTTTCCGCCCAAGCGCCCTGCGCCTGCCGTTTTAGTGTATAGTTTTGCAGTAGAGTAGGATCAATCTACCAATATTTTCGTTCTTTACGCTTTACTGCACCGCGCGTTGCTCCCATGAGATCCTTCCTACCAATCAGACTCGCCATTTGCGCCACTTCTATATGCGCCCTCGTCCGCCATGACCCCTCCAAACGCACTACAAGCGCCAATGTCACCAACAGCACATTTGCAAGCAAACACCTTACTGAAACATGGTCCGGACAGGTCAGGACGGCTGGTAATGACCCATGGACACTGTCCGTCGCTCGAGGGACAAAGCTGCTGCAAGGCATGAAAGGTGGTGACGCAGAAGCAGCAAGACTCTACGGTCTAGATACAACGGCCGAATCGCCTTTCGATGGGGACCTGATCGACAAATTGCGGGAGTGGGGCTACAACGACAACAACGACGCTCTTACCCGGCAAGCAGACCCAGAGTGCAATCTTGATAGCCGTGACGGACACATGCTTAAAAAAGCCTTTGAGGAACTGGGCATTGGGACAAAGAGCAAAGGCCAGGGCGGACCAAACCAATGCTTCTTGATTGAGCACTTTGATGGTCCAGCTGTCAAGCGAAGAGATGATGGAAACATGCCCGAAAAGGTCGATCAGCGGTACGAAGTCTGCGGAAAGGAATACCGAGTTACCAATGCTGAGCATACAATTGGTGTCAATGCAGAGGCTGGAGCTGTATATGCGATGCAGCTCTCTTCGGCAGCTAAAGCAGCCCGCAGACTCTGGAAAAGAGCACCGCTTGCTGAAGAACTCCCGGCTATACGCAGCGTGTCTGACATTGCGTGGGCGTTTTGGAGCCGCGCGCACGGAGGGATAGGCCTCGAGAATATCAACTACCTCTTCGTTGTGATGATTGTTAACAAAGAAACGAATCAACATGTCAAGCGCGCCTTGGGTACGCTGTCGCCGCCCAGAGAGGAAGCCGATGGTTGGCCAGGCCATGATTTCACAATGGACACGGATTCTGGAAAGGCGCTACTTGGATCTCCAGTTGGACGCTGGGCAGGATACTTCCTAATGCAGCACAAGCGGCAACTAGGGGGGAACAAGTACATATCCAAGGTTAGAGTGTTCAAGAGTGAGAAGGAGGGAAGTTGGCCGTACTTTTTATTCTACGTCGAGGGTCCGGAAACAGCCTCCATTAGCAAACGAAAGAACGACAAGAATGTAAATGAGGGACATGTAAGTGAGGCAGCCAGGGTTATCACAAGAAGTGAGGATGGGAGACGTGTGGTCAGAGAGCATGTCATTCGAGCACGTATGTAGCATGTGTTCAAATTTCTAGAAAATACTACCACACAATCTTGAACTAGCGAGAAATGCCTATCATCGGGTTTCTGACACCACAAAAAAAAATTTGTCGAAAAGATAAACCCGTCTCAATATGAAGCCGACGAGGTGACGTCCCAGCTGACTAACAACGCGTCGGCGCGCCATCGGCGGCAATCCACGCAGAAAACCCCCGACAGCCCGCCCGTCAAGTACGTCAAAGAAATCCTGACCCGCAAACCGCACACCAGTGCCAGCCTGAGCCATCGCTCGCATACCCGCCCCCCTCTCGCTCACTCCAAACCCGATATCGCGCAAAGTCCCCCGCGTTCGCGAACACAACGCTTCCGACGCGAAACCCTGCCGATCAAGTAAATAAAAAAAACAAATACAACCAGGAAAAAATGGATTCTTTCGGCGGCGGCAGCAGCCTCGGCAACCTCGATCTCTCCAAGCTGTCGGATCGCGACAAGCAGGAATTGCAGCAATTCGCCATGAATGAGGGACAAAAGGCGAGGATTCAATCTTGTATGTCTCCCCTCTCATCCTCTCTTCCTCCACCACCACCACCACCACTTGCGCACACACTTCTCTTTGAGAAAGAACCTCCCTCCCTCCCTCTCTCTCTCTCTCTCTCACGCACACACACTCTTTATACGTAAAAGAAACACACAACATGCTAACATATTATCTTTACTAAAGCTATACACTCCCTCACCGACACGTGCTTCCGCAAGTGCATTCCCATGGGCACGGTCAAGACGGGGAAACTGGACAAGTACGAGGAGCCGTGTATGCGGCAGTGCGTGGATCGGTTTCTGGATGCCAATTTGGTTGTGCTGAGGGAGTTGGAGAGGCTGAGGGGTTAGCAGCTTCGTGGCTGAGGGGAGCGGAGAGGAATGTGGATGAAGAGATCAAGAGGGGAACCAAGGCGAGATGAAGAGAGTAAGGAACAGGGTTGTCCGAGCAAACTTTGAGTGGGGGGGGGGGGAAAGAGGAGGGCAATGTAAGATATGATACGAAACGATACGATAGCGTTGGAGCATCATTATATGTACTATATCGCATCATGGCTAGCTGCGCGGAATGCATGTTAGACCTGGCTATCAAAGCTATGCACATACATATAAATGCAATGAATAAGCATGCCATATCCAAATATAAAGTCAAGTCAAGGTTTCACCCAGTCAAACGTCACATACTCATGCTCAGGAAAATGTTTTAGGACCAAGTTGAGTATTGGCGCCATGCGGAAATTTCTTTCATTCGAGTCACCGTGACTACGTTTATCCCATGAACGCCCGCCATGCATATCACATCGCTTTTCAATTGCCGGGTATAACCAGACCCATCATGACCATGCCATTTTCTTATACAAAGACCGCCTCTTTAAACAATGGCGAGCTTGGTAGCCGCAATGTCGAGAGCATCGACATCAGCGGTGAGACGGCAGAAAGCCTTCTTTGAGCCGTCGGGGCGGATGAGGGTGTTGATCTTGACGCAGCTGACGTCGTACTGCTTCTTGAGGGCGGCGGCGATTTGGCGCTTGTTGGCCTTGACGTTGCAGATGAAGACAAGGGTGTTGTTCTCCTCAATCTTCTTCATGGCCGACTCGGTGTTGAGAGGGTGGATGAGGACCTTCTCAGCGTCCATGCGAGGCGCATGGGGGACCGACTTGCGAGGGTACTTGCCGGCGCGGGACAGTTCGAGGGTCTTGGGGCTACACGATTGTCAGCAGGCCAGATTTCGTCAACCAAGGGTAGGGCATACCGGTGGAAGCTGGTGCTCGTCCTGATGGCGCGCTTCTTGTTCGCATACGACTGTCATCTCGTTAATTGTGCCCGTCACACGAGAAGTACAGCCCGTCAGAGATGTAGTTCTGACACGACTCAAGAGGTTCAGGGGAGGCTTACGCCGCGAAGGGCCGCTTTGGCAGCGGCGTTGGCCTGCTTGCCAGTCTTGGTAGAGGCTGCAGACATTGTTAGCATTGCGTGCAAATCGGGGGTAGCTAATCGAAGCGCATTCGCAAAGTTCCTCGCTACTGTGATATGGCGCTGCTGCGGTGCAGATGCAGACGTACTCTTGGATGCTGGCTTGGGTCCCATTTTGGCGGTTTTGGTGGTCCTGTTGTTAGTGTCGAGAGTCGCAATCAGAAGTTCTAAAGGATTTTGCGCGCACGCGAGGGCAGTGTGAGGGCTCGGCTAATCCGCGCTAGTGCGAACCTGCCCTCCCGAACTCTCGGCATCCCCGCTGCATGTGACTTGCTACAAGACACATATCATGGCTGCGAAGAAGCGCCAAAAGACTTTGTCGCAAGGCCGACCGCCCATCAGCAAGCCCAAAGAGCGCATGACTTCAGAGCGATCGAGGACCATCATCCGCACCCATCACCGCTTACAAAAGGAGCACGCTGCAGCTCTCAAAAAAGGAGATTTGGTAGCCGCGAAAGAGATTGAACGAGCTATCGAAAAGAATGGGGGTATAAAAGCATACCAGGCGGCGAGCAAGCAGGGACAGGCTAAAGATCGGGGCGGCGATTCTAGCAAACTTTTGGTCGAATGGCTACAAAGGTCGCACGTGCTGGAACCTAAAGGATCGGACTGCGGCGCCCCTGAACTCAAATGCTTAGAAATCGGCGCTTTGTCGACAAAGAACGAGATCTCAAAATACTCCAACGCCATCCACATGACGAGGATTGATTTGAACAGCCAAGGTCCGGGTATTGAGAAGCAAGACTTCATGGAACGGCCAATTCCAACAACCGATAGCGACCGCTTCGATATCATCTCCTTGTCATTAGTACTTAATTACGTTCCCGAGGCTCCCGGCCGAGGCGAGATGCTCAGGCGCATCACCAAATTTCTGCGAAGAAGCACAACAAAGCCGGATGGTCTTCCCCCGGTATTGCCAGCGCTGTTCTTCGTCCTGCCTCTTCCGTGCGTCGACAATTCACGCTACCTGGACGAAGCACTGCTGTTGCAGATTATGGAGAATCTTGGCTTCGCCATGAAATTTAGCAAGAACACGTCGAAATTGTGCTATTACATGTTCGTCTTAACACGACAGCCCACTGAAACGCCGACAGAAAAGAGAAAGATTCGAGACGGGCCAGGGATGAACAATTTCTGCGTCGTTGTGGAATGAATACCAGCGTACTAAAATCAATGTTTCTTTGTTTTACGGATCGGGACACAGTCATCAATATAGGAGGATTGCAAGTCGCAGCTCATACGGCAAGCACGGCACCATGAAATCCTCTAGCGCACCGAGTACCAACCGGAGGCTGTTTATAGCTATCTCATCATCTTGGCACAGTAGCCCGCGACGGAGATTACCATAACAGTTCATTTAGATATGTTCTGTTTTGGTGCGACCACATCGGATCTGGGCGCCTGACCCACCTTGGCTCCACACTGAATCCATACTCAGCGGTGATAGACAACAGGAGACATTCTGCAGAAACTTTGTTCATGGTCCAATGGAATTCCACATCACAATGCATTAGAGGCTGGCAGTATCTACTTAAACCAGACCAGGTTCATCCCACAGTAGGTTGTGGCACCGCGACTCGTGCAGTCTCCCGATGTTTACAAAGTCGCGAATGGTCGATTCGGCCAATACTTGATATGTCGGTCGAAACGATTTTATTATATCAAACACTCTAACAACGTGGCAGAACTTGCGCCAAACAAGGCAAGTCCTCGACGGTAAGTATTGCCACCGGTTCGTGTGCGGTATTATGTGTAATATACAAGCTCCAGAATTGTCCGTGGTAATGCTGCGGTTGGCTGCTCGACCGATAAAGTACCGAAGGGTATTGCAGGGTGCTTCGTTTGAAACGCCTCCCCCCGATGGTGCACCGCGCACACAAGGCCACTTTGTATGACACCGCCATTGCCTGCGCGTCGACGTCGGCAGTCACACTACGACAAAGCACAACAGGAGACTGTACGAGGCTATACTGCAGCAGCTTGCTCGTGGTGTTGTACGTGCAAAGGGTCGGCTGCCAAGAGTAACGTCAAATTGCACCCATAATGTTGCCGCCTTGTCATCTCGCTCCCGTTTGATTTTCCTTTAGCGCGTTTTCCATCTCAACACATCATGGGTCACGGGGCCAGATCCTGACTCCTGTGAACTCATTGAGCCAAGCATTGCACAAGCTTTCTTTTGAAACCTATCTAGCATATCTGCCGCCTACGTACGCACTGGCCTGTCAGAGCACGTTTTTGCAGAAAACATGGCTCGTCGTACGGACGATGCGCAGCGCATGTGCCGTATTCCCCAGCGTTTATCGGGTCGAGTAACTGAATATCAAACAGGAGATGAGCTTATTTCCAACCGTTTCCGGGATCAAATCTCCACATGCATGCTTGTCCGAGCGCGTTGCCGCTTCGCTACTGCTCTAGTAAGATGAGGTCTCAGCTAGGCTTGGGGTTTATGTATCAGGGTGGGGGTGCCCTTTAGAAGCGGGTTTTTCATTTATCTTCTGTACCTCGTGGGCAAAGTCAAGTTTCATTCGCTCTTTCGAGTTCTCTAGTCACTCTTTTTTTTTCAAGCCGCTGTGCTGCTGCCGTTCGTTAAGTACCTGGATTCGTTGATACGACTCCTCACATTCGTTTGCAAACCCCCAATTGTCGACTAGAAGTCAGACACCATGAAATCCAACATTTTCTCCCTCTTGCCCATTATCGGCTTCGCGGCCGCGGCCGCCCCCGAGTCCAGCTGCAGCCTGTCGACCACCACCAAGATCGAGTTGGAGACGGTTTATGAGACTGCTTCAGTTCCCCCAGTTCCCGAGGCCGCAGCTGTCACGAGCAGCTCGGCCAGCGTCTGCATCCCAGCCACCGTCACTGAGACCAAGCGTGAAAAGGTTTACGTCACGGTCACTGCCGGTCAAGCTGCGGCTGAGGATGCTCCTTCGGGCACGACCATGACCACAACCAGCACCCGCAACCTGTACACCACCGTCACCATCCGGCCATCAGGTGGATTCTATGGCAACCATTCCGCTCCCGCCATCTTCAAGTCCACGACTACCGACAGTGGCTACCCCGTCAAGACGCCAGACTCTGCTTCCAAGGACAAGACGCCAGACTCGGACTCGACTGGTGAAGGCGAAGACGACGACTCGGACTCGTGCGATGCTGATCTTCCCCCAGCTCCCACGAGCTCCCCTATTGCGTCGCCGACGCCTGTCCCTTACGGCAAGGCTCCTCAGCCTTCTCCTTCCTCATCGCCTGTCGCTGAAGCAGCCAAGTCCAGCCCCGCTGCGGATGCAGACACCCCAGCTATCTCTCCCAAGAGTGTTAGCACCACAAGCGCAGCCATCAACAGCGGTAAAGTCACCAGCTACGGAGGCAACATCGACGGCGGCACCTGCTTGCTCACTGGCTACACCCTCCCCAAGGGCGTCTTCGGCACCGCCCTCACCGACTCTGACTGGAACAGCGCGGGCAACTGCGGTGCCTGTATGAGCGTTACCGGCCCCAGCGGCAAGACGATCACAGCCATGGTTGTCGACCAGTGCCCAGGCTGCGGCCCGCACCACCTCGACCTGTTCACCAACGCCTTTACACAGCTGGCTGATCTCTCTCTCGGCGTCATGGACGTCAAGTGGCAAATCGTGCCCTGTGGCATCACGACTCCCTTTAAGCTCAGGAACAAGTCTGGAACCAGCGCCCACTGGTTCTCGATGCAGGTCATCAACTCCAACGTGGCCGTCAAGACGCTCGAAGTCTCGACCGACGGCGGCAAGACATGGATGGGCACCGTCAGGCAGCCGTACAACTTCTTTGAGAAGTCCACTGGCTTTGGCACCGACAAAGTTGACGTTAAGGTCACCAGCACCAGCGGCCAGTCCATCATTGTCAAGGATGTCAGCGTTGCTGCTGGCACGACCAAAGATGCCACTAGCAACTTTTCTTCTTAAAAAAAGATAAGAAAAAGAGCGAAGATCGGCCGTGCTGACCGAACTTGATATCTAATTTTTTTCGGCTGTGGGGTAAAAGGGTGGGGGTTGCAGAGGGGCCTTTGTATACATGTTGAACGATTGTTTTAAACCGGCATGACAAAATAACTTGATTGTGCTTTTGTCCTGTCTGTTGATGCATGTGGGGGGCCAAAAAAAAACCCCCCAAATTTTATTCTTTATTTATTTTTTCTTAACTTTTCTTCGGCGGGGGCGAATAGCTCAAACTACTAGTAACAAACCACACCACCTACTTTAGCTATGCTTAGCCTCATTACGTACCCTATTTTTAGCACAATCATCTTTTCTCTCCTGTGTTCAATTTGATTTTTTTTTTCTTTTCATTCCAACAAAAACCTTCTTTTTCTTTGAGCGTTCCCCCGTCGTAGTACTACTACTACTACTACTACCAGAAAAATGCTGCATTGAAATATGCACATGAACATATAATGTGTGTTACTAAGTAGTACTCTATTCCCTGCAACACTGTTACCTTAACGACAAGGGGTCAAGCAATCGAATTCATCTTCTGCAACGTTTCGCCCAAGTAGTCCAAGTTGTATACATATACCGCGACAACAAAGGAATTTTTTTTCTATCTCTTAATATCCACATGCACGATTAAAAAAGGTCTACTTACGCAAAGAACGCATGTCGTTACATACGAACCCCCCAGTGCATACTTACGCCTCCCTCCCTCGCCCTTCCCCGCACATTCGTATTCGCACGCATACCATACAATCGCAGTAGCACCGCGCAAGGACCAAATACCAGACACACGCACCCAGGTCGCCGTCGTCATCGGCCCCACCTCCACCACGTATCCAGCGGGGAGGATCCAACGGTTACCGGGGGGGGGGGGGACAACAAGATGGCGATCGTCAGCGTAATTTT